CAAGATTCCAGGTTTGCCTTCAGCTAATTAAGTGATATTAGGGAGATTGTAAATGCCACATAAAAATTGGCAGGCAAGCTGCTCCTAATGATGAGAATATTGCCTTACAGGGAGGTGCAGCTGCAGCTTCTTAATGCATGTCTCAGAGAGGACCAGCTCCACGTTTACAAGGTTGTTCCTGATAAGACAAGTTCAAGGGTGCTGCACAGCTGACCGCTGGCCACATTTCCTGCTCCCCATCGCAGGGACACTCACAGGGACACTCACAGGGACGGGGAAGGCAGGCGCAAAGAACCAGCAACAAGTGCTCCCGTGTGTTCACGTGCGACACTGTGTCGACGCCCTACACTCCGCACCTAGTTTGGTCCCCACGACAGCACCATGAAGCTCCAGTTCCCCGTTTGGGAGGTGGGGGGAGTAGGCAGAGAGAAGCTGAGTCACCTGTCCCAGGGCACAAACAGGGGAAGTGGCTCAGTCCCGACTCTTCATCACTGTGTGACCGCTCTTACTCGGCATTTAGGACATGAGGGGGGCACTGGAGTACTAGTCAGTAGGGACTCTCGGTAGTTATTTAACAACTACCGAGCAGGCGAGGGTGAGAATCACAGCAAGTGACAGGGCAAAGGCCTTCAAAATTGCAAAATGCCTCAGACGGAGCTCTGCAAAACCCCCAGTTTAAACACTGGTGATAAAGCGTTTGTGATCACTCAGATGGGAAAAGTCTGGTGAGCACCCTCTCCATGAGAGAACGCACTGTATCTAAAACTGTGGGGGTGACAGAGGTTAAGGCAATGCTCTGCGGTGCTTGGGTGCCGGTGGCTCTGCCCCGAGGCCAGGACCCAGGGGAGCCAGCCCCCACGTACCCCTGTATTACTGACCACAGCCTGCCGAGCCCTGGCCACGCACACACAGATCCAGTAGTTAGGGTTAAGAGATCCCTCGTTTCAGACTGTTTACCTGTTTGGTAAGATCAGGTAACACTTAACAAGGCTGGCCTGAGAAAATGTATACAAATAAAACAAAACTGCATTTCTTTTAAGAACAGTCAACAATTCAGACTGTTGTTTTTCTCCTAATTTTAAGAGGAGGGAGCTGAGAACAGGGGAGCATAGTTATTGGGTTACTGATAAAGGCAATGTCCCAGATGTTTCTAGGCACTAAGAAAAACATCAGAAAGACACAGGTGGCAGAAGCCAGGGGTCGACAAGTCTTAGGGAGCTACAGACTAAACCATCTGGGGAAGAGCAGCGCTTTCATGGTGCCAGCATATAACTCACACGAGAGAGGGTGGTTACAACCAGCAGACTAGCTCTTCCATATTGTCACAGTAGCGCTGACACCGTAAGGCATTCTATTCTTGAACCATTCTCCACGGTGTCAGACAGATGAGGGATCTGCAGCCGTCCACAGCGTGCCTGCTCACGACTCGTATGTGACTGCCTACACAGACAGACACCCTGGCAAACAACACAACTCTGCCCTCCCGAAGCAGACACACTGGGGCTCAGTGTCCCCTGGGAAGATGGGAAATTTTGGAAGGTCTGTTACCTTTGCTTCTCTAAAGTAACTGCTGAATCTACCTAGCTTCAGATCCGAACTGCATTTCACAGGGGGAAAAGGCTGTGTTTGTGACGGATGTTGCTAAGGGGCCACTCAATACTTTACCACCAGCACCGACTCCCTGTGTGCATGTCTTTGTCGGGATTTGGGGTGGGGACTGCTTTGGCAGGTCTGCGTTTAGGTGTCAGAAGAGTTTTGTAACCATGACTGTATTTGCGTGCGGGGGAGAAACAGCTCATGTTCCCTTTCAGAACTAAGGACTGAAAAAGGAGACACAGACCTGGTGATTAAGATCGCATCTGGGGACATCATTTCTTTTTCTGAACAGTGGTCAAGCAAAGGACTAAAAGCACACAGACGAGATAAAACTTCCCTTTGCCGTTGCTAACCTGAGCTAATCTGCCCTTGCTTCACGTTTCTAACGCCCAGACGAGCTCCTTGTTCGGTGTCTGCAGGTATCAGAGGTTTGCACAGAACATGTAACTTTTCTAGGCAGTAAACCCCATCAAGTGGAATGCAGAATAATTTGGCGAATTTAGTGCTATTACTTGATCCGTCCATACAAAACATAAGGAACCACTCTCTTCCTTGACAGATGGATTTCAGAGGAGACGCCTGGGCTCAGAACAATCACTGTGGCCACAGTGTAACTCTCTGCACTTTGTTGGCTTTAATGCACTTTTCTTCCCAGGGCTCAAGAAGCAGCAACTGGCATTTGCTTGAGCCCTGACTGAGGTGTGGAAAATCTGTCAAGTTTTCTCTGCCGCTTACCCCGACCACAATTATACGGTCCATGTGCAGATTAGCTGCAAAGTCATTCTTCTTGCGCAAGTGACAAGATTTCCCCAAATAAAAAAAGGTGCCTACCATATTCAAGTGCCCGTCTGCGTTAGTGAGGCAGGGGTGGGGTGGGAGGATGTGAGAGTGTGGAGAGAAATGCCTTCAAAAGAAGGGCATAACAACCCAAAAAGTAGCTGTAACTGAGTGATGACATGGCCAGAACAGAGAGCGGTATTGTCGCGGGCGGAGTAATCCTGTGACACACTGCTGTCACTCACCACCCGGCTCCCTGCCACGCCAGCCAGACATCAAAGGCTGCCCCATACCATCTTACATGCTCTTTATCGGCTAATCAGCCCATTCTTCCCGAAATAAAGCCCTGCTAAATCCCCTGCTCACAGGGGTACAGTAGTCCTGGTGCCCATCTGCTAGCAGGGCCAGCCGAAGCAGGAGGCGGAGGCCTGCTCTCTCCCTAGTGGCTTCTCAAGGTAAGGACAATGCTGGCCCCAAGCCCCCCTCCCAACTGCCTCCCTCCTTGCTGCTCCGCTTTCCAGGACCTGGGGAAGAGCCGAGGACACCCCAGTCTGAAGAGCTGCTATCTGGATTCACACTTGTTAATGAAATTCCCAGTCATAAAGGTACATCAGCTGTGAACAATAAGATACTGGAACCGCATTTACATGCGGGGAGAGGAATCAGCAAAATACGTGTCTCTTACCAGTAATCGACTGGCACGTGCATTCCTATCTTCTCCAAGTGCCAACATCTTAGAAACGGTGGCAGGATGGCCTGGCTTCCAGATCACTAGGAGGTCACCCTCAGACCTGACCGTAAGCCTCACCCACTCAAAATCAAAGTCAGCATGGAGAGATACCAGCCACCTCCAATCCCAGGACAGCGACCTAACGCTGGTGTACCGCCATCGTGCCTGGGAGTAGATGTGAGGCGTCTTCTCCCTCTGGGAGGACGGGCAGAGAAGTCGCTGGCTGCGGCCCTGACCAGAACACGCAGCTGGGGCAGCAGGCAGCGCCCTGCACCTCAAAACCGCCTGGCAGAAACCAGAGCTGGATGTGTCTTAGTCTTGTCTGGGCATGGATGAACAGCAGCACGATGAGAACGACTTGCCTCACAGAACTACTGGAGTATGGTCCTGTATGAGTGGTATTAACATGAGTAAAAAAAGCAACCACCTTAAAAATTCCCAAATCGGCATTACAATTAGGCAAACTGTATCCATTACAAAGAGCCTTGTAGATGCCAAGTCCCTGAACAGATCATGTTGGATGTTCCAGAATCCTAACCCACCGGGTTTCTAGGTCTCCATTCTAAGGTGCTTCATCTGTATGACCCACCTTCATGCTGATTCTCAAAACAGTTTTGGGAAATCGCTAAAAACACTGATTTCCTTCTCCCTTCTGTAGTTGGGGGACCCGAGGCTCTGGGAAGTTAAGCAGAGACGTGGCCCAAAGCTCAGAAGCTCACATCACAGTGGAGCTGGAGCTGAGTCCAAGTCCCCCACATCCAAGGCCAGCGATCATTTCCCTACACTGGGTGGTCCTCTCTCCCTTTTGTCACTGCACTCCAGAGAAACCAGGCGCCGACGAGGGTGGTGGTGGCGAATGCACAAGTGGGCATTGTGCGGGAACGTGAAGGAAAAGTGTGGCACGCCCACGGATTCTCAGTCAGGGCAAGTGGATTGTGGCATTTGTAATTAATAGGCAAAAAGAATGACATGCAATACAAAGTGACTGTCCAGAGCATTCAAGAGTTCACTGCCCCCCAAATGTTCGTTCAATGTATCCTTCCCACCCACGTACTACACAAATTCCCCCTAAAAGCAGCCCATGGGATCTGAAGTATTCTGGTTCCTGCAAGGGGTTGAGGCTGATATTAAAAGTACACCCAGTCTCTGAGGAGAGAAGGACCTTTTGTGAAGGTATTTTGTGGTTTCAGGACCTCCTGAAACCATGGGGTGGACTCTGAGCCCAGTCTTCACCCTGCAGGGTCTCCTCCCTAGGACCTCTGGACAGTTCGGAACAGGCTTTCTGCGGGAGGGGAGGGAGGGGGAGAGGGCCTGGCGCTTGCCCCGGTGTGTGCTCAGCACCGAGGAGAGTGAAGAGGTGCAGGGAGTCCAGTGCTGGCCGCTGGAGCCAGCCCGCAGGAGAAAGGTGCTAAGCTGGAACTCCACACGCCGCTCCTTCCATCTCACCAGGACAGGGCCTGGCGAATCTCACAGAACACGCCAGAAGTTCTCGTACAAGCCCCAGAGGCTTTCCAGGGTGAACCACAGCATATCTGAAGCTCTGACTCCAGCAAGTCCCCGAGTTACTCTGCTGGTGGGCAGTGAGGACAACCCAACAGGTTTGTCTTGCTGCCCCAATAATATCCCCACGACATCTGGACCCGACAGGAGACCCCACTGCATTTCTGCAGGTGCCTTAAGGACATTCAGATGAGGTGCTTTTCCTGTTGCTCCAAGCACTTATTATACTGAGAGAGGGGCAGACACTGGTGATGATTTACCTCAAGAACCAAAGACGGAAGAGCGGACACTGAGCACGCAGCAGCCCAGCACGTCACCTCCCTGCTGCTGGGCCCAGAGCTCTCCACACCCACCTGACTTCCAGCCATTGTCACAGGGCAAACTCCGCTCATCTTACCTGTTCAGGTTCGCTTTCCTTCTCTTCACAGCTGCCACACTCAGATTCTGGGGGGCATCTCTCAGCCCGAAGCTCTTAGCCACGTGGCCGAGGTGGAGCGACCGGACATGGAAGATATGCTTCAGCTCCCGGGGGTAGGTTGCGTAGGCTCGGATGAAGGCCTGCAGAGCTGGGAGGGAATAGGGGTCAGAGAGGCCATCAGGATGGGGGCTCGGAGCGCCCCATGTGCCCTGGCCCAACGGCTGTCCTGCCCACCATATCTTGCCGGGAAATGCACCACACACAGTCAGGACAGCACCACGTACAGGAACCACCTAAATCTTTACTTGTGTATACATATATTTTTTAATTCCTCAAAAACTAAACCTAGGGGCGCCTGGGTGGCTCAGTCGTTAAGCGTCTGCCTTCGGCTCAGGTCCTGATCCCGGGGTCCTGGGATCGAGCCCTGCATCGGGCTCCCTGCTCCGCGGGAAGCCTGCTTCTCCCTCTCCCACTCCCCCTGCTTGTGTTCCCTCTCTTGCTATGTCTCTGTCAAATAAATAAATAAAATCTTTAAAAAAAAAAAACTAAACCTATAGGACACAAGTATCTGTTGATTAAACCCAATCTATTTTCAGGTTTTACTGTGTAGCGTGTCCTCACCCTGGAGGGCACGGGCCCCGCTTTCGCCCCCGTTATAGGCTTGGGGCCTTGCATGGTAGCTGGGACACCACAAGCTGCTAAGTGTTTGTCATATAAATGAATGAAGAGCAGAATGAGTGAAGGAACTAAAACATGGTCAATGTGGCATTCTCTCATGAAAAACAAGATCATTAGACCTTTATGTTAGGAAAACATTTTCCTAATTCAACTTCATTTACTTTTGCATAGCTAATATGTGCACATGTTATAAAATTGAAAAGGTTCCAAAGGCTTTACGGTGCTTGTCATTCTGCTTATCACCACGACAGGTTACTACTGCTGTAAGTCTGCTCACCCACAGGCCCCGCCTCCACCCCCCTATCGACAGGGAGGGCTGCTGCTTCCTCGTGGACTCCTGGGATTTTAGAACCAAATTCATTCTAAAGCATCTAAGATTTACTGATACAGTGCTTCTTACACCCATTTGAAAACTGCATAAAAAAGGCAATGAAAACAGAATTCTAAAAAGGAGGAAAGCAATTATTAAATTTCTAAAACAGCCCACAAAACAGTCTCTCCCCTGAGGATTGCCAACAGTCTAGAGATGTCCATCCGACGCTGCATCGTGGTTTCAGTCCTGTCTTCAAGTTAAGAAGGCGCCCTGTTCTAGAGCTCAGTGCTGGACAGAGAAAAGGCAGCCATGGTTCGCGGGAGCATGGAGCTCTGGTTACACCTTAACTCGGTATCCCTTTGAGGAAAGAGAAGTTCCTATACCCAGTTCCCCTCAAATATACTGCGATTTCAATGAAAATCAAGTGCCTGCCTCTTCTCACTGCAACAGGGCAAGAGGAGATGGCTCTGAAGGAGCCCCAAGCCCATCACCGCTCACTTTCCTTCCGAGCCTGGCTCTCCCACTGGCCGAGCCGGAGCCCAGCGCCGCTCGTCTCATGGAAGAGCAGGCGCTAAACACCAGCCTCTCTCGCCCTTGCTTGTGGAGCCACTGGCCTGGCAAGTTTGCCCACAGCTTAAACGTAATATCCCAGCAGCACCTGGAGACTGGCGTTTATGAACAGTAATAAAAAGTGTCATTTTAGCAGATCAGCTCCTGGAAGGATCCTGGGAATCCATGAAAGCTCTATTTACTGAGTAAAGTGAACTCCTTTTCCCAATCGATGAGAAATAATAACCACGGCAACTCCTCTGCACCCCTCTCGTAAATCTGTGCTTACTCCCCTTTTTAATAACTGGGGACTAGCTTTTTCAGGGGAAATCTTTTAACTCTTCACATGGTCTGCACTGCCTGCAGGTTCCGACACCAAGTTCCAGACATGGAGCTACCTACTCCAGTCCTCAGGAGGGGCCTGCTGCCACCGCCCCTGGGGCGGGGCGGGGGCGGGGTGCAGGCCTCTTCTCCTCCACGCCCCGGGCCGCCACTTTCCTGAGCCTCAACCCTGACTCCTGGTCTAACAAAGCAGACTGCAGCCACACCAAGCCAAGCCAAAGACTCTGCACCTTTACAATCTCGGTTGTCCAAAGGCTGGCCCAGGCCTCCTCATGCACACCGTTCTCCCACGTAAGCACATTAGCCTCCCATTCCTGCACCAAACTGAAGAGCTGAGGATGGAGAGCCTCTGTCCCAGGAGATGCAGGTGCTCAGCTAACAGCTCTACAGGAGTAACAAGTTTGCCAAGAAATGGCAGACGTGCCTTCTCCCTCCACAACTGCTCAGGCAGCATTTCGCACCTGTGTATTTTTACCAACCCTTCTTGTCCGCAAGGCTCCTGTCTTCCTGGGGCCAGCAACACCTGGCTGTCCTCACATCCCTGAATGGCCTCCCGTGTTTGGATGGTTCAGGGAAGCAGGAATTTCAGCAGAAGCTGTTCTAGATGCTTTCCGGGGTCCGTGTCGAGAACTTGCAGCGGGAATAGGGGCTGTAGGGCCCAGAGCAAAGAGGGCACTTATCGAGGATGGCGGAGGAAGCTGCGGCCACTTAGAGCAAGCACTCCGGAGCCACGGGCTCCTATCTCATAGCTGTAAGGGCAATCTATTTCATACTTGTTCCTCAAATCAGATTTATTCTTGGCCATCTGATCGGGAATAGTAGTATCTTATGGATGATACTTAAGATCAAGAGGTAGGGAGGAAAGAAACTTGCCCCTGCCCCCAGAAGGACGAACGTCTGTGCAGAGTAAAGGCACACACACCTGTCTACCTGACACCACAACAGTATCAAAGCATTTGGTCGAGCATCTGCCTACCTGCAATCACACTGAGAGAGGGGGCTAATCTGTCATCAGTGGTTTGGGTGTTCTTGACTTTGAGGAGCAGCTCTTCCAAGCCAGGCACAACTCCTCCGCATGTGGGCCCCCTGAAGCTGGAGGGGCCTCACCACAGGAAAGTGGTGGTTTGTAGGTAAAGAACTCCAGTTTCTGAAATTTTTGTTCAGGAGTCTGGAGTTCAAACTTCTATTAGCACAGTTTTTAACCACTTGAATCTAGCTAAAGGAGGCAAGAAATGAGGGCGGGGGGAAAGCCTGACTCCGTCTGGAAACTGACAACAATTAAACGCTGGTTATTAACAATGACTGGGTCAGGAAATGCAAAAGGAAAACAAATGCATACTTGGCCCAGTTTCTAACTAGTTTTCTGCCATAAAGGCAAAAACCAGCTGCTTTGTTAATTATTCATGAGGTGGGCTCTGAAATGGCATAAAAGGGAGGCACGGAAGTAGTGGGGAATTTGCATATGCAGACTGAAATGCAGAAGAGAGTTTCGACTTGTGGGGTGCAGTCGCTGTCCCCCCGTTGTGACCTCCGGAGCTCAGCATGCTGAGTACCAGAAGAGGAAGGAGTGGAGCGGCCGAGACCTACCATAGGCGGCTTCCTCCCAGACCATCACCAATCTGATGTGGAAATCAATCAGCAGAGGAGAAAAATGCCTGTTAATTTCCTTTTTGGTGCCTCAACACCGCAGAGTGGCCCCACTCCGATATCCTTTAGAGAGAAGACAAGTAACTCGGCTTGTTTCTTGGCATGACCGATTTCAGTGGTGGTGACGACGAATGAAAACACAAAACCACACTCTCTAAGGATTCCTCACTACACCCTTACTCTGATGACCAGACACCCTGAGATAGTCGTAGTCTCGCTAGGAGATCCAGAACACCTCTGACCTCAAAACCAAGGACAAAGATGACGGCATGGCCTTGATTTCTCTCTTTTCATGGCCACTTTGTTATTAACCCAGAACTCCTGCACCACACCACGTGATGCACCACCCAGCAAGCTCATTCTGCCTGTCAACAGACGCCTGACGTCTGTAGTTAAGCCGTGACAAATAATCTATTCCTCTTGAGAGACGTGGGTTAGCACTTCTCTAAAGTAGGTTCCAAGGAGAACCCTTAGGAACTGCTGAATTCACCTGAGGGAAATACGAGCAGAGGCTACTATGGGAAAACAGTCCAGAATGCTACACGCTAATGACTCATCAGTGGTTATGAGGCCATCACTGGGACTTCGTCTTTCATCCTGCGTAGCTCTGGTTTGTTCCAGTGTGATGGCAACAAGGGCTGCTTTTATAGTGTGCCAGGCTACCCAGGAGACACTCAAAAACCTCTGCCGACTAACCCACTGTCCTCGATCTCCCGATGACCACAATTGCCTGGAACCAGTCCCCCAGCACTCACCCCTGCCCCCCAGGCTATTCTCACACCGGCCATCTTCTCCAACCTCTGGGCCGCGCCACATCTCTGCTCCAAGTCCTGCAATGGCTCCCGCTGCCCTCGGGGTCCCCCAAAGCCCTCCCAAAGCCTCCTCTCCTGCGCGGGCCCTCCCCTCCTGTGGCCACCCTGCCCCCCAGAGCTCCTCTGGGCCTGGCAAGCCCTCCTGTCAGCAGTGTGTGACCCTCAATTTGCTCGTGCTGCCTTCACAGCAGGGCTCACAATGACCCTCTATGCAAAATGCACTCTGCCCAATTACCCCTTCACCTCCCTTACCTGCTGTTTTTTCCCATAGTTCTTAACCCCTTTTAGAAGACTTATGATTTGTTTATTTTTACTATGCTCACTGTCTGCTCCCCCACTAGAATGTTAGAGAGGTTTGGGTTTCTGTTTTGATTCCTGATGTATCCCAAGCACCTAGAAGGGTGACTAACTCAATAACTATTTGTTAAATTAATGTTTTTTTTTTTTTTTAATTTCAATTCATAAAAGGAAAAGATGATGTTCTGGTAAGCCAGGCCAGCATTCTTCTCAAAATAGCAGGTAACTACCAGAAAGCAGCGAGGGGCCCCCAGCATGGACAGCGTCACTCTGGCATGCGTGACACAGTCACCAGCCATGGCGCACGCATGCCGCCGTAAGGAGCTATTCGGAGTCCCGTCCCGCGTGCTCCGCTCTGCTCCACTGAACTGCTGAGTCCCACTAATGCCTGGTGACCCCAGGAGCCGAGTTACCCGGGAAGAGGACCTGAATATTAAGTGAACACCTAGCTCTCCTGTAAATTCCCCAGGAACTGGGTTCAAGGTCTAGGGCCCTCCCTCAGCACTTCTTTCTCATCTTCCTCTGTATGTCGAAACTGAGACTGCTCAGGTCTGATGCTCCCGGTCCTTACCTTCAACTCTAATTTCCATGCCTACAACGGTCTCTGCTGACGTGTCATGCCTCGTCTATCCAGTTTTCAAAGAAAGACAAAAATGGATCCCTGAGATCCAAGTCACTGGGTCAAAGTTCTAGTCCTACGTAAGCCAAGATAAAGCCTCATTTGTGCGAAACATGGGGAAGGATGAAATTAGCATTTAATATCGCTTTAAAGCCTTCCGTGCCTGCTTCCAGACCCTGCAGAACAAGGGAGACTGAAGGCTTTTGTTGGAGAGCAGAAACCCCCCGGTTGGCCTCTCAGCCCGTCGGGGGTGTGCGGGTGGAGGTGGGGACGGCGTTCTGGGGGCTATCCATGCACAAGCACCCACGAAATCCACCGACCTTTCTTCGCCCAGGAGACCCTCCTCGAGCTGGAGTGCACGTAATCTTCAAACACCGTCTGCAAGACGGTGGCTTGCTCTCGGATTTCCTGGGGGCCAGCAGCACGGGATTTCTGGGAGGGTGGCGGAAGGATTAAAGAAGAGACAGAGTCAGAGTCAGGAATAATGAAGCACTTTATAATAGATTTAATAACAGTAAAACCACCCGGTAACCACCAAGGGACCAACAAGGGTAATCCTTTCAATATTACTAGAGGAAAAACGGGAGCTATAAAGATGTTAAAGTCAAGCAAAGATGAAGATGGCTTTGTGAGGGAGAAGATCAGGTCTATTTATTTACTTGTTTACTTACTTACTCGTCCTCCTGGCCTCTTGTTCAAAATGAATGCCCACTGGAGACACTCTGGAATTTTCCAAGTCCAATTCAGGCATTTAAAACATCACTGAACACAGGCAGGTTTCACATGACTTGTGTGTTCTACTGAGGCCTTAAATCTTTCCCCTCCCTCACCCTCCTCAGGGGAACAATGGGACCTTCTCTTTAAGAGGGCCCCACAGGGGCCTGCCTAAAATTTAGCCTGTCCTTGAATTTCAGAGCATGCTCCCTCAATTCCTAGGGAGGCTCAGAGTTGTAGTGTTTCAGATCCATTCTTTCAGCGAGGGACCACTGTGCTGGATGCCAGGGACCTATTAAGGAGTTGGCTATTCCTTCACACCACATTCAGAGATGACCACACGATCTCTGCAGCAAACCATCCCTGTGTAAGGAGTGACATCTGTATGCACTAAAGTTCTACAGATGGAAAATATTAATTAAAAAAAAAAAAAAATCACATCCTTTCATTCTTCAAAAATCCCAGAGAAAAGATTTCCTTTCTTTATATCCCCCTAAAACCGAGTGTTGTTTCCTGTATCTTTTTTTTTTTTTTTAAGTAAGCTCTAAACCCAACGTGGGGCTCGAACTCACGACCCCGAGATCAAGGGCCAAATGCTACACCAACCAAGCCAGCCAGGCGCCCATTTCCTATGTCTTCAAACAAACACGAATGCTTTCTACTGAATGTAAAACTGAGATCCAAAGAACCCAGATTCTCCAAACTCAATTTGGCTAATAGGTCTCTCCAAAGACACTGATTCTCTCAGAGATGCTACTCAGTCTCTACAGTAACCAACACCCACAGCCCATGTGGGTCACCAGGGAACAGTGTGAGCCCTAGTCCCTGCCTCCCATAATCCCCGCAGAGGACAGGGTGCCCGAACTGGGCTTTAGAGTCTCTTTTACTTTTAAAGCTACCAGAGGAAGAACAAAGGGGAGTGAAGAAAAAGCCTCATTCTTTGGGTTGACGTCCCTCTCTGTATTAATAGAGTCTTTAACAACCTGAAAATGTTTTTAGCTTTGTCAAATCATTCCTGCTACCTGTTTGGTTGATGACAGTCTAGCTGATTTCATAGTACATGGTCCCCCTAAGGGTTTTATCCACTCGAATGTCAAGAGAAAAGTCACTCAGGAGCTGTGTTATGGAAGTGGACATTTGCTATTGTCATTAACAAGGATTTTTTTTTTACCCTCAAATGCAAACTTTTTTTTTTTTTTTTTTTTTTTTGCTGCCCTCCTTTTGTTAAGCCACCTCGGCAACGCAACTGTCACCTTCCTTGTGTGTGTTTTTTTTTAATATGAATGTGAAATTAGCGAGGATGCCCTTTCCCCTGGCGGACAGAATCCTCTGTTATTAAAAAGTAAAGCACTTTAATAATGAAAACTTTTTCCTCTTTTTCCTGTGTTTTAACTGTTTAAAATTAATGAGAAGGGCAGAATGGTTGTCAAAGCGATATTGAAAGCCGGGCAGCCAGGACCGAATAAGCACAAAAATCCCTCTAGAGTGTTAGATAAACAGAGCTGCAGCCCGCCTGAATCCCTCTGTTGGTTATTGTATACATTCTGTAACAGCTCTCAGAATAGATCTGAGAGCTGGGGAGGCAGAGAGGTTTCAGAATTCCAATAAAGGCCTCAAATTAAAGACAGCCTGGTGCGAATTCCAGGAGAAAATTAAAGAGACCTCAAGCTTAAGTGACAGGTGACTTGCTTCTGTGTCACACTGTCAGGGGACTTAGTGATAATACGGCGATATATTACAAAGGGCTTTTCTTACTCCCCCTTTAGGTTTCAAAATGAGGCATCTTTTCTTCCCAACCAAAAAAAAAAAAAAAAAAAAATTACATACACACACATATGTAATGTGTGTGTACAAGTGAAATAGGTAGAAAAAAGGCGATAAAACTAGGTTCACACGTTTGAAATGATGAGGTCAGTTTTAGTAAAATATAAGAAAAAGTTAATGCAGAAAACGTAACATACTCAGGAAAAAGCATGTCTTTCTCCCCCTACCCCCACTTTCAGAAATATTTTAAAATTACCCCTCTTGAGAATGAGGTATTTCTCAGTTGTCTTCTGGGGAGGACAGTCTAAATTTAAACTGAAGACAGGGCAGACTTATGCACGCAGCACCATCTCAGCCCCAGACAGGCAGAATGCTGCTGTAACGAGAGCAGGTCAAAGCCCAGAGGGTGCACGAATGCCCTGCAGGACTGGCGCGCCCACCCCTCAAAGACGTGCAGACCCAGTAGTGGTTTGTGAAGCTAGCCTGCAACTAGTAGACCAGGGCTAGCTTAGGAAACTGCAGTTCCAAGGGTCCACATTCAGTATTCCTTAGTCTGTAAAGCCCTACTGACATGTGGGACCTAGTAGGATTAATTTTGTAAGCTAACCAGTTATTTTGGTGACAGTGAATGCCCAACCTTGCTGAGCGCTTTTTCTCTTTTTTAAAAAAGATTTTATTTATTTATTTGTGAGAGAGAGCAAGGGAGCACACAGAAGTTCGGGGGGTGGAGGACAAAGAGACCCCCCTGAGAGAAGAGACGATCAAAGGGACTGAGGGAAGGGGCTGCTGATCTCATTTTAATATCTCACCATGGCCCAGTTTTTTTTGTTAAGGTCCGTTTACAGGCATATTTCATAGGACAAAAAAAAAAAAAAAAAAACTCGTAGAAAAAACATGTTTGGGTTGTGTGCATACTTTGAAGATGAAAATTTCACACCCATCAAGAGGCAGCAGATGAGTTGAAGATACTCGGGCTGTATTTTTTGTTGTTGTAAAAAAGTTTTAGGTGGTAGCAGTGGTGGGGGGAGGGTTTTTTTTTTTTTTTTTTTTGGAAGCACGTCTTGATATTGCTAACTTTGAAGGTACTTTTAAAACTAAATGGAAGGATTTAGTTTTAATCATGTGATTGCCAAGTTGAGTTTCACCCTCATGCTTCCCTAGAACCTTCTGAGTGCTTCCCAGTAAAGCTGAAAGATCAAATTTATTCTCTTTGTAGGTGGGTGAACATTCGCACACCCAGATGTAGCCATATATATTTTATATACCTAAATATGAAATATACATTTTACAGATGCTTCACTCACTTTCTTTCTGTTCATAGAAGCCCAAAAATGTATGTGCCAAAGGGACATTTACAATGGACTTCAACCGAGTGAGGAGTCTGAGGGCCTTATAATGAGGTGTCTGGCTACGTGTATAAAAGACCTATTTACTGAGCCCACATTTATCTGTCTGGCACTGGTTCGTGTGCTAGACAGAACTGCCCATACTGAGAACAGCAATTAAAACAACTAAAAGTGGTATCTAGCATCTACTTTGTTCATCTTACTATTCACACGGATCACACACATGAAACACTCTTCCAGGCTGTAGATCTGTGTGGTAATTACTAATATAGTCAATTTCATTTAGTTTCTCTTTGGCCTCTGAATTCAAGTTAACTTTGGTTAAACAAGCCAGGTTTGCATCAACGGGACATGTGGGACCTAGTAGGATTAATTTTGTAAGCTAACCAGTTATTTTGGTGTCAGTGAAAGCCCAACATTGCTGAGTGCTTTTTCTCTTTTTTAAAAAAGATTTTATTTATTTATTTGTGAGAGAGAAAGCAAGGGAGCACATAGAAGTTTGGGGGGGGGGGAGGAGAAAGAGACCCCCCCTACTGAGCAGGGAGCCCCATGTGGGACTCGATCCCAGGACCCTGAGATCATGACTTGAACCGAAGGCAGCCACTTAACCGACTGAGCCACCCAGGCACCCTGAACATTTTTTCTTTTTAAAAACGAAGTTCACCACACCTTAAAAATATAAAAATATTCTATTTGTCGGACGCCTGTCGGACTCCAGTACTTGCCCGGAAGCCGGTCATGATCCCAGGGTCCTGGGATCGAGTCCCACATCGGGCTCCCTGCTCGGCAGGAAGCCTGCTTCTCCCTCTCCCACTCCCCCTGCTTGTGTTCCTGCTCTCGCTATCTCTCTCTCTGTCAAATAAATAAAATCTTTAAAATATATATATATTCTATTTGTCCCTCTCTACCAAGGCAGGAGCTTGGGGCTGGAACAAATTAACATGGCCCAGAAGTGCATGGAGTATTTTCTGCCTCATTTTAGGTCAACCTCACAGCAACCTTCAAGATGGGCACCCTTGTTCTCAGTTTACAGATGGGAACACTGAGGCTGGAGAGAAGACAACCTGCCCAAGGTTGTAGAACCACCAGCAGGGACTGAAACCCAACTCTGCCTGCCTCAGGGCCTCAGCAAGGCTTTAGGCTGGCCTCACACCCAGGAAGGGACTTATGGGGTTTGGGGCTGGGGGTGGGGGAGTGGAGGGGAAGAGCCGAGCAAGAGCAAGGCCACCGGAGGGCAGAGGTGGAGAGATGGCCGTGGCTTGCTCCTGGAAGAGCAGAAGGCACTGGAGCTGCTCTGCCCCCTCCCCGGGAGAACGTCCGCAGCAGGGGCTCCAGCCACAGATGACCTCGACGATCAGCTCCCTGGACAGAACTGATGTGTGCCCGGTTCAGGGACAAACATCAACAACAGAGCCGGTCCCAGAAACAGTGTAAGTAAAGATGAGATTGGACTGAACCTTTACAGTCTCATTTTGTGACCTGACTGCTTGCTCTTATTTCTGGAGAGCAGGCAGATGCTAATGTTCCAGGTGACACAGCAGAAAGCACTTGGCTTTGTGTCACTGAGTCTGAACTTTGAATTCCACATCTGCTACTAACTGATGATGACGATAAACACCCTTCAGAACTGTGTTGGGGTTTCCAGGTTCTTTCTTACTCAATCCTCCAATCTCCTAACCAGAAGAATACTAACGTGACCTCAATTTGACATATGAAGAAACCAAGGCTTAGGAAGCTCCAGTACTTGCCCGGAGCCGGTAAATGAGATTAGGACTCCGACCCTGAGGCCGTGCCCTTAACTGCTCTGCTCTGCTGCCCGCAGGAACGGCCCCCCTGCCTCCCCCATGCTGTCCTGGGCCTGTAATTAAGTGTCCAGGGGAACAGGAAAAAACCCTACCTAGAAGTAGCTTAAGAAGCGTGCAACGACCAATGAATGGTTGGGTACTAGGTCCACTCCCTTGACAATGAACTATTAATATGGGATGTTTCATAACAAAATATTGCTTAAAACAACTGTTGATCAACTGAGTCTTTTAACTGTTTCTCTTGCTTGCAGGGATCTCTGTTTGCTAGCGTTCACTGACCAAGTCTCACCTCAACTCTTCAGCCTGATCTATTCGGCTCTAATTTTCCAGTCTATCCTTAGGCTTGAGAAAACAAATGTAAAATATTCAAATAATTAATATTTCATAGACAAAACTGCATTCAGCAACATTATACGCACGTATCTGTGACGTACCGAGTCATGGGTTGGAGTGGGGCGGGGGGACGATTGCCTGGCAGAAAAGAAGCAGGAAAGGATGCTCCAGATCTCCATTTGGAACTGCATGGATAACACAGATTTTTCCCCCTAATGATCTCAACCTTTACTCTTCTCCCGTGTATGGCACTCACACTAAAAAATAGATGAACTAAGTGTGTCTGAAAGGAGACAAAGAGAGATCTATTTCTTCCATGCTGTCTTGGGTGGATGGGTCCAGCCAGTCGTCCTTGCTGATGATCTGGACAGGGACCACCAGGGCTGAGCATGTAACACTGCCTCCAAACTCACTCTGGGCCGGGAGGAGACCCCCTTTCTGGGAAGCCTGCTGTGGCCTGGCGGACTTCCAGAATGGACAGCAGCCCATTAACTGGATGAGACTAGCAAACACAACCGGAAGCAAAGAGAGAGAAAAACACAATCAAGGTTTGGCCTCATCTAATGTTCACGGTCCCTGAGATAGACGCCTGCTGGACAGAGGAACAAACTATCCCACACACAAAGTCTCAACCACCCCAAATCAAGAAATCAGTCACGTCTGTTCGAGCAAGCATAATAATAAAACTCACCTGGCTTCCCCATCGGCTCCCTTTAAAACAATCATCCCTTGTCAGAACAGACAAAATATCTTCCATCTTAATCTCAGAAACGCTGTAAAAGGAAGAACATATCAAGGTAAACTTCTTATTTTTCCAACATCTGGAATCTTGATGCATAAAACTGGCCTGTTCTCACTAATTAGATATAAAGTAGAAGCTACACCTTTACAGGAAATAGCTTCCTAAACCTTTAGAAGGAGTTTGGAAGGAAGGGACCTCTATGACGCGACAGGGACAGATGGGGTCATAATCCCAACGCTCTCCATCCTCTCTGGTGACTTTCAAACAGGCTACATTTAGATTCTCCTCTGTAGGGATCGCATCATTATTTCTTAACACATCTCAAATACTAAACAAGGAGGCCTGCTTATTCATGGACTACTTTGACTTGAGCAGATGAAGAAATAAAAAACCATTTCGGATAGTCCCTTTTATACTTAAAAGAAGTGGGGGGTGGGGCGGAGTGGCCAAAGATCCTAAACTGTTGGGGTCAACTCCTCAGGGAAGGCTGACAAGTGACCACAGCACCAAACCCCTCTTCTCTTCCACCCAGAAGGGTGTCTACCCTCTTGCCTCTTAATTATTAAGGGGTGAGGGACAAATGACCTCTGAAGAATCCAGAGCTATGTACAAACAGCTGAGATCAGAATTTGGGCTTCACTTGTGAGCAGAAGCCATGCTGAGCCAGAAGAAGAGGCCCAGGGGCAGGGAAGCCTCCGCGTCCCCCGCGTCCCCCACGTCCTGCAAGGCCACGGCATTCAAGCACGGGCGGTGCATGCAGATTCAAGTATTAGAGCCTAAGGAAGAAGCGGGAGCTGCAGAAAACATACTTCCCAGGGAGAAGGAAAAAAAAAAGGGAAGGAGGAGTTCTGGGGAGAAAAACAGATCATAAAAAGATAAATGATTTCCTTGTATGTTGTTTCTTTCCTTTTTTTTTTTTTTTAATGTAACAGCAAATTAATACATGAATGGCAACCTCTCATGTGGGAGAAGACAATTCTCCCCCTTTCCCCCAAAGGTTACTCTGACAAAGCTATGAATGAAAATGTCACGTCTCTGACAGCGATTTACCTGAAATGTGTCACCGCTTCCCTTAACACCCCCAGCCCCCGCCCCTCCACATTCTCTTCCTCTGCTGCCAGCTCCCAGCCCCACGGATACGTGAAATCTTTTTACAGCAGGAGTCAACCGGAGAAGGCAGAGCATGTACTGCGAGGGTAGCAGTTTGGAGGAAAGGGCTCATGATTTCATGGAAAATCTATTTTTCATATGAGAGAGAAAAGCTGCGGCTGCTGAGTTTGCCTCTTGTTTATGCCTGGAAATCTGAAGGTGAAAACACAGCCCAGGCCTATCTTTTTGTCTAACGGACTTGCTCCTCTTCATCACCTTTTCTCTTGAGGGAAAAAAAGGAAAAGTAAAAGGAATATAAGGACTCGGGGGTGAGATCTGGAAGCAGGGAGAAGGAAACAAAGAATAAGGCCATTCAGAGTCGGGGATACAAAGAACTGAACACACCACCGAGAGGCACCGTGTTCTGACAGGCAGGGTGGTGTGGACACTGCGGCCAGGGCTCAGCCCCGCTGTGTGCGTCCACGTGACAGCACTGGGCGACCAGGCACCGTTAAGTGAACAGGAGCCGAGAATGGACTGGAGTGATTTACAGTTTAAAAGGGCCTTCCTCCTATTCTAAGACATCGCTGCTTCCGAGGAACAAAGCCAATCTACTCTGCTTGTTTATGGTTCTATCAACAGATTTGAATCACCCCGCCTTCCTATGAAAAGAGACAGATAAATAAATTCAGGGAACTGTCTCATGCCTGATCTAAGAAGAAGCATTTACATTTTAATAAACCCATGACGACTTTCATTAGAAACACATTTAAAGGAGAAGTGGAAAACAGGGAAGAAGTTGGCAAACACCAGGAAGTCAGAAGGATGCAGAAACAAAGTTCCGAGCGTTTAGAGAGGTGGCAATGGCCCAGGGCGCCTGTCTCTTGCCCCTGCTGCTAAATTACACTGTCAGGGCGCGTTCCACGGTGCTCGGTGTACGAGGGCAGGCAGCAATTTGTTGTGATGGCCCTTGCTGCCTCGAGCCTCGGCCTGCCTTCCTGAATATCTCCTCTAGTTCATCAGCCGTCCCAGCATCCTGCTGCCTGGCTCCCAGGTTCTTTACACACGACACACACACACACACACACACACACACCCCTTCCTTCTCTGTACACACACACACACACACACACACACACCTTCCTTCTCTGTTTTTTGTTGTTGGTGGTTTTGTTTTATTTTTACTACTTAGCAGTGTACCTTTTGTATTCCAAAAATGTTCTGCTTCTTTCCATGGCACACTTTGTAATCAGGTCTTCTTAGGTATCATATTTTGGTGTTAAGTCAAGATACCCAACATCCAGGGGCGCCTGGGTGGCTCAGTTGGTTAAGCGACTGCCTTCGGCTCAGGTCATGATCCCGGAGTCCCGGGATCGAGTCCCACGTCAGGCTCCCTGCTCAGCAGGGAGTCTGCTTCTCCCTCTGACCCTCCTCCCTCTCATACTCTCTGTCTCTCATTCTCTCTCTTGCAAATAAATAAAATCTTAAAAAAAAAAAAAAAAAAAAGATACCCAATATCCAGCCCTTCCTCGGAAATCAGAAAGCATGATCCAAGGCTACAACATAACGTCGATCTGGTATTTCAGGGCTGGGAGGGGGGTGGTATTGATTACCTCAGGCCCACAAAGCAGTCAGTGGATCAGGGGCACAAAGTTCAGTGGGTATGTTTTCAGGGCAGAAAACGAGTGAGGCTGGACCCCTCCAGGACTCTTCCTCCCTTGAATGGATGTTCTCTCCACAAAAGACCTGACTCTCTTCCTCTGGGTACTTCTGTCTTCATCTTTCTGAACTTCCCCTGCAAGTCCAAATCTGAGAATCCCTGGATTATGGAGCTGTCTCCCGAACGTCCATTTGGTTGTGTTGGATTGCCCACAAACAGTGCTGGCACAGTTTTTTCCAGAGGAGACCGTCACAGACAACGAGTGTACTTCTTATATCTTTAAAATACACGTGGCTCGCTAATAATTCAGGTTGGGGCCAACTATTATTCTCCCCTGAGTTTAGGTTTACATTTGAACCTTTCATAGCCATCACCTGAATGCATTTATTAAAGAAAGCTTGAGAGCAGGAGAGAGGCAGAGGCACCCGGGCACACGACTTTGGGGCTGGCCAATTATTGCCTGACCTCACGACCGCGGGTACCCACTTTTCTGAGCCTATCGGGTCCAAGCAAATGAGCACGGGAGAACCTCCAGGAGCTGCTGACAGGAAGGCCCGGAGAACATGAATCTGTAGGTCTAGAACAGAAGGTGGGGGAAAGACAGCCGAGGGGTAAGAGGCCGCCAAGGCGCAGTGACATGTTCTCCCGTGGATGACAACACCCGGCTCTGAAAACACTTTCTGGAGGTCTACAGGTTGCCCTGCCAGAGGAAAACAGTCACAGCGCCATGACAGGCTCCCAGCCTATGAGGACGGCGGAAGGGAAGATGGGAGAAGGGGCTACGAGGGTTTTCATTCCACCCCCCAGTGTTTCCGGGATCCAGCTGCCCAGTCGAGCGAGCACTAGCCTAGGCCCTGAAAGCGCCCGTAAGAAGGATCGGCCAGCCCCAGGGCCTGGGGAAACCAGCTGGAGAGGAAGCTCTTGGTAAAAGGCGATTGACCAACTGAGGGCCAGAACTCCTCTTACAAGTGAGATAAAATATGCAGTCTTCCTGAAACCAACAGAAACCACTCTTTCAATGGTGATGTTGTTTGAAGGTATTAAATGACAGGAAAACCCAAACCAGCATTAGCTGGGCCCGCTCAAAATCGCCACCAGGTTCATCAGGAGTGGGGTCCTGCCTCCCTACCACTGAAGGGTGTACACAGCCCATAGATGTTCCCATGAGCAACCCCAGAACTGGTGAGTGCTGCGAAGTCCGCCCCGGGTGCAGGGAAGGAGGGAGAGGGACAGTTCTGCAGGTGGGAACAATGGTGGGCTGGTGGGGACGGTCACAGGCAGCTCTCGTGTGGGTGGCCTGCACTTGGTCCCCAGACCAGGTCCCACGCCACCTGTCTGGAAATTTCAGTGCAGGTGCAGAATGCAATGATTCTGCCAGCTCTATACTTTAGAGAAAATGTCTCATCACTTTCTTTGATGCTTTACATAAACCACTGGGCTGGGCAAGGCAAAGCACCAGCAGACGAGGCCCTCAGGCGCAGGCGTACGGCGGAGTCATGCGCCAGGCTCACAGCGTCGGTTCCAAGCAGCAGGGCAGCCCTCCAGGCTCCCGCGCGCGGCAGGATTCCTGTCCCACCCTCCTGGGCACACGCACAGGACTCTTCCGTGCCTCCAAAAACACTTTCCATATCACTGTGCTATGTCTGAGCAGAAGAAATTCTTGCAAGTAGACCACTGTGAAAAACCACATGCCTTCAGCAGCCCATTATTAAGCGCCTGTTACCTCAGCTGCCGGAGCTTGTATGGAAAACATGACAAAACATTCATTTCTGTGACCCAGGTGAGTTCTTTCTGCTTCCATTACATTTGCTCCCGGCCAGGTTGAGACGCTCTTCTCTGTCTCTGCTTCGCTTGTCCTTCCTGGGCGAGGTCCGGGCCCGCTGGAGGCCCTCCCCACTGCTCTGGCCCGCGGTCGTCGAGCTGGCGGGCCAGGGCTGGAGCGGGGGCCTCGCTCGGGGTGGTGGGCGCGCAAGATGTGGCCGCACAGCCCCGGCTGCCCAAAAAGGTTTCTTCCCTGGGTTTATTTGGGAGGGGGTGCTGTGTGATGAATCAAAAATGTTATTTTTTTCAAAGACAAATCATCTTTAAAGATACAAAATGTTGAGTGTGTAAAAATAAAAACTGAATAAAAAAGGTCTTCAAGCAGCTGGCTGTAAGGGCTGTGCACACATCTCTGACAGAAAGGAAAATGAAACACAGACCTCTATCTTACAGAAAAACCATGAGCAACAGATCGTTCCATGCCTTAGTCTGGCAATGCAATGAAAATTGTCATGTGCTGACGGCATGAAGGGTTTTAGTGTTTGCCTGCCACTGGCTATTCTGGGACTCATTTAGGGATCACAAGGGTTAATGGCTCTTTGTCAGCTTACAAGGCCCATCCACTGTAGAAGGCGACAGAAAGTTAATTAGGTGAGATCAGGCGAAACCCCGTTCAGGTTTCTGACTCACTTGATTTTGTGAGAAGCCAGCGAGTTGACATATTCCGCCTCCGAAGGAGCCAAAATGAGCAGGCTGCTCCCATGGCAGCCAATCCGGGCGGTTCTCCCGATCCGGTGGATGTATTCAGCAGGTGAAGGTGGCGCATTGTACTACAAAGGGTAACAAAAATGAAGCATCCACAGATCAAGGGACTGCCATTAATTGGAAGTGCAATACCCCTCACCTGCCTCCAGGTATCCCAAGAATTAAACCCTGGTGCTATGGTTACCCTCACACAATCCCAAGGAGAAGTCACTCAACCCTGAAGTTGGAAATAACGAAGCTCTGACACACAAACATGAACAGCGGCCAAGTATGCGATGAGTGAGCTGCCTTCCCGTCCCAGTACCTCCTTTGTAATTTTACTTCTCCACAGGTCTCTTCATTTTCCTATCTGCATCTTTTCACTGTGGTGACCGTGCAAGGTTAAGTTGGAGGCAGGCAGGGGCACCCTTCTGTAGGATGGCCGCGTGACCGTGGCCTGCTTCCGTGGCAGACACAGCAATGAGGCGGAGGACACAGAGGACTGGACGGGGTCAGGAGGAAGGGGCCGGCTGCTCTGATCAGACTTCACTCTAGCTGCCAGGCCGCCAAGAGCTGGTCCCCAGCACCTCACTGCACTCGCACTCAATCCCAATGGCACAGAGCTGTGGGGCAGCTGAGAGGCTGGTTCCCCTCCCACAGGGACTTGCTTCTGCTCCCAAGGTCAGCATTCCTGACTCGAGGGAAAAGGCAGACTCTAACTCAGCAGAATGCATTATTGCATATTCTCTATGGCAATAACTTCATCACCATGAAAAGGAATTGACCATCTAACCATTCTTCCTTTTTGTTCTCTGCTGCTACACGACTCAAAGATCAGAGGCCCAAAAGGAATAGAATGTATAGGGGAGGGGCAGGCACACGAATCTAATCAATCTGATGATACAGAAAAGCTCTGAACAACCAATTTTATGTGTCTGCCCCCGCCCCCCCATATTAACATTATCCTGCCTTTTTATCTTTACTTTGCTCCGTGGCCATCAGGAAAGAAGACTCAATGCCTCTAGTCGAAAAGTGGCCTTCTGCAGTGAGCAGATCAAATTTCCTAGCCAGTGACAGGCATGCAATTCCACTAAAATGTGAATAAACCATGACTCACATAAATGGGGCACATGTCCCCTGGCCCTCACACAGAAGGGCTTAAAACTACCATTCTGCAGACTAACGAAAAGAAAAAACAAAACTGAAACCAGCAGACTCTAGTGTTAACACCTGTACCCTCTGGCAAAGCGTCTAAGGCTAGAGGTATGTGTAAGATGCTGTCAGGGACTTAATTGCCCCCTGCAGGTCAATGTACATGGACACGGCTCTAAGGACAGCTGAGCCATCTCCTTCTGGACACAATGAGACCTCCCAAGGGCCCTGGTAATTCCTCTTATTTTCAGATTGCTGAAACTTTGTGTGTGACATGCATTTGTCTGGGAGCAGGGGATCCTGCCCCTCCCTCCCACAACTGCTCAGCCTGGCTGTTTCCCTGCAGCAGCTAGGTGGGCTGGGTTAGGGAAAGATACCAGGAGAATTGTGCAGGTAAGGCTGGTTGCTGCCTGGTTACCAGGGCAACACCCAAGAGGCTAATAATAATTATTCCACTTAAAGCCAAGGCATCTACTCACAGTCATATATTCCTGCATGGAGCTCACACCTTAACAACTAAAAAATTACCTGAACAATCCACGTGACTTGAGGGAGATCTAAGCCCCGAGCTGCAACATCCTTCAAAACAGAAAAGAATATGGCTTAAGACTGAGTTTCTGAACCTTTTTTGGGCCATGGATCCACCTGATAATCTAATGCAAAGTATGAGGGCTCACCCCCCCCCCAGTGTGCACAGGCAGGTACACGTGCACACACGTACACATGTGCACGCACGCACGCACGCACGCCTACATGCATGCACGCACGCACACGCACACGCATGCGCCGGCATACAACTTCAGGGACCCACTGAAGTCCATCTGTGCTTGAAAATTCTACCTTGGGGGTAAGTCCTGCAGAATGTGTTGGTGAGGCTGTCACCCCACCCACTCTACCAGAACATAAACTGTTAGCCCAAGAACTGAAGTCATTCTCAGTTGCATCACGTTACAACTATGAAAATTTCTAGTATGTATTATTACTTTTACATTTTCTCTGAAGAACCACTCTATGATCAATGCATTCATGGGCTATTACCCCCACCCCTTCCCTATCAGCAATGCCTAACAGCGATATGGCTTTGAGACGTGAGTCTGGAAGATCACCCCAAAGTATTCCCTTGTGGAGGTGAGGTGCAAAGTCTTTACGGAGGACTTATCAACCCCAGGTAGCTGTAAAGATCAAGTAATGTCCCACCTCTTCAGACAGTTAAATTACACCACCAGCCAGAGACTTAATCAACCACACATAAAAACTGCAAAAGCAAAGGAGATACATTTCTTTTCAGCTGGTTGCCACCCAAAAAGCAAAGGCTCTCTGCTCTCTAGTGTCTGTCTGACCATTCTGGCAGGGACTCGAGAATGGGTACCTTTCGGTTGTCAGGGATAAACTGACGCTGGGCATTCGTGTTCAAGCACGACAGTCATAATGAGAATATCCCTAGTCAACATTTCCTGAGCACTTACTATACACCAGACACTGTACCACTTCACCCGCTGGTTGCATCTCGAGTGATCTTCCAAATAACTCCATAGGAACAACGATTACTCCCATTTGATGGATGGGAAACCAAGGTTCGGACAGATTAGGTAACCTGTCCAGAGACACACAGCTAAGAAGTAGAGGCAGCCCTCATATCCAGGTCCCTCTTACTTTTCCAAGGCCATATTATGCTGTTCCACCATCGAAGAAGAGGCTGCACCCCTCATAAGATGCTGGTGGGAATGCAAAATAGTATAAAACCCTACAGTAGGAAATTTGGTGGTATGCAGCAAAATTACATATGCACTTGCCCTCTGACCCAGATGCAATCTCACTCCTAGAAATCCATCCCAAAGACACACTGGCAAAAAATACAACATGCTGCATGCACAAAGCTACTCATTTCAGCAAAATCTGTAATTGCAGGTGTAGAAAAAGCCCCAGTGTCTGGCAGGAGACAGGTGGACTAAAAGACAGCTGTACTGACCTCCTTCAGCAGAGCGTCCTACAGCTGAGACAGGAGGGAGGTGCCAGTGCAGACATGGAGAATCTCTACGATCTGTTCTGGGTGTGCAGAGTAGGCTTTTGTGTGAGAAATGAGGGAAATACAAATATATCTGCTCGTATTTCAAAAAGAAATAATGGACGAGAAAAGCCAAAAGCTCGCAAAAAGTGACCTGCAGGGGAAGGGATCGGGGGTGGCAGACAAGGGTGGAAGCTGGACTTCCTTGAAGAGACTTTGATAATCTTGACTGTGAAACAATGTAAATGTTTTGACATAACTAGAAAGACAAGGAGCTGTCACGCCACAGGAAGTACGGAGTGTCACCTGTGGTGTATTCTTGCCCAAAACAAAAGCAAATCTAACCAGGTGCGCAGCCCCAGCTCCTAGTTTACAGGAAGTGCAGGGGAGGGAGGAGCACACTGGCCCAACCAAAGAAGTCAAATCCTGAATGTGGAGTATTCTAAAGCAGGGACAGTCTGGTTTCTTCCAGAAAAAAATTCAAGGAAAAAAAAAGAGGGTACCAAAAATGAGACATGAAATGGGTAGATGGATAAATGGAGAGATTGCCAGAGAGCCTACGCCTGGAAGGAGGCTCACCAGAACTATCACCTGTGGTTATCTTCAGGGAGAGGGATTAAGGTGATTTTTATGTTTCTCTTTGTGTTTTCCTCTGTTGTTTGCTTTCTCTCTCAATGAATGCTTAGTGTTTCCTCCCAAATTTTTATCTAGAAAAAATTAACAGACTGGAAGAATACTACAATGAGCACTCGTGCATCCTTCATCTAGATTCATCAACCGCTAATCTTTGAACATCTGCTTTTTTTCTCTCTCTACACGTTTTCTGAGCCATCCGAAAGTAAGTTGCAAATACCATGTTTTATTCCTAACTACTTTCACATGTCTCTCCTAAGTAAAAGGACATTCTTCCTCACAAACACAATACCAGCATCATACCTAAGAAATTTAATATTAAACAACTTTTTTTAAAAGATTTTATTTGATAGAGAGAGAGCGCACGCATGCGTGCGTGCGTGCAGGGGGAGCTGCAGGCAGAAGGAGATGGAGAAGCAGGCTCCCCGCTGAGCAGGGAGCCCGATGCGGGGCTTGATCCCAGGACCCCGGGATCATGACCTGAGCTGAAGGCAGACGCTTCACCGACTGAGCCACCCAGGCGCCCCAAATAACATTATTTTCTAATAATCACCTCATATTCAAATCTCTCCAACTGCACCTAAGATTGACTTTTATAGATGTTTTTATTGCCCAACTCAGGAATGACTCACAGATCACGCATTTTTTTTTTTAAGATTTTATTTATTTATTTGAGAGAGAGAGAATGAGAGAGAGAGAGCACATGAGATGGGGGAGGGTCAGAGGGCGAAGCAGACTCCCTGCCGAGCAGGGAGCCCGATGCGGGACTCGATCCTGGGACTCCAGGATCATGACCTGAGCCAAAGGCAGTCACTTAACCAACTGAGCCACCCAGGCGCCCATCATGCATTCTGTTTTTATTATATCCCTCTAGACTTCCATAATCTAGAATGATATCCCTGCCCTTAATATTTATTTAGTTTTTTGACAACTCAATTGTGAAGGAGTCCAGGCGTCTTGAAGGACGTCCCAGAATCTTGTGTTTGTCTAACTGTGTCCTCGTGGTAAGATTCCGGGGGAGCTTTCCGGTGGATGTCCTTCCCAGTACCTGACGCCAGGAGACCGAGGGCAGCCTGGCCCGCACTGTGGGGAGCTGTGCACGATCCCCCGAGGAAGTGGCATCCAGGTGAAGGGACCCTTCTCCTTTGTAACTAATCAGTAAACTGGGGAGTGAAACTTTGAGACTGTTTCCCAAAACCTTTTGCCCAGAGGCCTTAGCGTCGCCTGACGCTGCCCGTCTGCACCAACGGTTGCCCTGGTGGCAGCAAGTGGATGGCTTCCATAGTCTGTCATTCCCTTCTTCCATTTAATAGTTGGCGTTTTTCCGTAAAGCACAGCTCGCCTTTCTCTCCCCTTACTTTGCACGCAGAGAGCTTTCCGGGAGAACAATAACCCTGCGCAAAGTCTCTGCAGGAAGCACGCTGAGACGCCCGCGCCCCGTGTTGCCCAGAGTCGGGGTGGGCGCCGAGGAGGACACTGGCCCGCCAGCATCTAACCCACTGGGAGGGGCCACTGAGGGCAGGCTGGGATTTGTCTGCCTTCGCTCCGACTACACCTGAGCTGGCGGGTTTCCTCTGAACGGTGGCTAGGCTGCATTTATTAAGTGTTAAGTGGGAGTTTAATGTACTAAGTGTGTCAACCACCCACGAAGTGTTTTCAGACAGCTCCCATTGCCCAGAAAACTGAAGGTTGATGTTCCAGAGCTGATGCCTTTGAGAACACAATTTAGAGAGTTCTCTGTCTTAAAGGGGAGCAGGCACTGCTTTCTACACTAACCACAGTTGATGTCTTTAGAAAAACTGACGGGTTCTTAAATCTGCTAAGCTCTTGTTAAGAAGTGATTTATTTTATTTAAGCGCTCTGCAGTGGGAGATGCATGTAGACAATGGGCTGTCTGAGCTTTACAGACAGGCTTTGTAAAAAATTTAATGCTCATCGGTTTAGTAAATTCAACCAAGAAACACAAATGAAACTCTAAAATAGCATATGACGTTCGTGGAACTCACTGAGCACACTTTCAGCCACAGTAAGGAAGAATGCCAGCAGCCTTCATGGGACCGTTCACGGTTCTATTTTCTGCTTGGGTGATCTGGGTCCGGGGGACTGGCCGAGACACCATCTTCCCATCTCCCACCACTTCTTGTCTTGGGTGGGGGACCCTCACTGACAGCCACCCCTGCTCAGGCTTCACCTGGCCATTTCTGCAAGTCCTCCTTCCTATTCTCAGCCTAGGCTACCACAGACAATGAGACAAAGGGATAACCTTCAGGGTCTAGGAACAGAGAGAACTGGACTCCACTATCCCTCTACAGCCATACCATCTGGGTAAGTCAACGCACCTCCCTGACCCTCAGTTTACCCACCTATACAATGGCTATAAGATTCACCCTATTTATCTCATGAGGTTGCTGTGAAGACCAAACAAGACTAGGCATGTGGAAGTGCACTGAGAATTACAAATCCAAGGATTTCCTTCCATGACAAAGTAGGAAACAGCACGGTGGCGATTAGGCAGTGGTGTGATTCTCCTCACACCCATCACCCAACCGGGGCAGAGGACTGCAGAGAAGCCGGGGTCTGCTCCATCCTCCAGAACACCACCAGCCAGCAGCACGGGATCGACAGGAAACTGACCTGCCCAAGTCTCAGCAAAGGCTTCGGTTCTCTGCCCTCTTAGAACTTAGACCCAGCCCAACTGTATTCCTTTGAGCTAATTAGGGCAAAAGAATTGCTAAAGTCAGTTCTGAAAGACACTCAACGGTGAGGCCTTGAAGGCCCAGGGCTTGACAATTGGCTGCCTCCATGAGACCAAGGAGTACAGATGGAAGGCAGCTTGCTCAGGTGCCAGCCTGTCAGTTGGATTAAAATGACTCATTTATTTACCCAAGAACCTCACAAAGTGCTTTTACTAACAGGGAGAGGGGGCCTGCCGGCTCTCTGAGCAAGGGACGCAGCAAATTCGCCTCTGCCGCCTCCCCGGCCTGCCAAAAGTCATTATTGCCGTGTGTGGAAAGCCATCAGCAGGGTACAGGCCCCCGTTGTCCGGGTGACAGATTGGGCTGCGTAATCAGAGGAGGAAGGAGAGAGTGCAGAAGCTGTCAGAGGCGAGAGATCTTGGCTGGAGCCGCCAAAAAACTGGCAACATGAGTTAGCGTAACTGAGTAAACAGCCGACCATCTCCAAATGATCTTGCCATTAACACGAATGAAATAAAGTGGAAAAGAGAAACTTTACCTCAAAAGCACGCCCCAGAGAAAACCAACAAAGTCTACATTTATTGTCAGTGGTGAACTGACGTTCCCGTGACTCTCACGGTCTCACCTCCTGGCCTCCTTTGTCTCCCAGCCTCCTGGCACAGTGGAAATTCCCCAGGAGGAGGGAAATTAAGAACTGCACAGACATAACAGTGTGCGCTTCAAGACAAAAAACAACTGAGAAGGTGGAGAAAAGCAGCAGCAGAGGTGATTCGGGTGTCTCTTCTGAAAGAAAGCCCATGCTGGAAGGCCAACCGAGATGCAGTCCAACGGAGAACCGGCCAGCAGACCAAGGGGAGTGGGAGTGCCCCTGCGTGCCGGGAGAAAGGGTACCGCGCTCCGTTTATCCGGGGACGAGCAGGGAGCGCCACGTGTACAAGAGAAAGCCCAGTGTCGGCCTTGCGACCGCAGACGGCTCAGGAATATCATTTTCCAGTCACTCCGTGGTACTTCCCTCTACCAACTCATCCACTTAACAGTGGTGTTGAAACCCAACTTTCCCGTCCTTTGGCTGAGGGTGAGTTCTTCACCAGAAGCAGGAGGAAGTATTTTGTAGGTAACCCAATATCTCCTGATTCCTTTGATTTCTTTATTCCATTTAGGAAAGTGGGTTTTGAACTTTCAAACGGCTCCTTCCTGCTAATCCCTACTCCCTTCTTGACTTGGCTGCTTCTTCGATCTACTTCTCCGGACCACACAAACTTACATTTCGAATGTTTAGTAAGGACCGCTCTTTCCAAACTGGTCTCTCCTGCCCGGCCTGGCCTCTCACTTTGGCCTACGCTTCACACCGGCATGGCCTCACACAGTTACTGAGAACCCACAGTACACACAGTCAGGTACCAGGTCCTGAACGGCTGCATAAAATTAGAAAGGTCCCAGGGCGCCTGGGTGGCTCAGTTGGTTAAGCGACTGCCTTCGGCTCCGGTCATGATCCTGGAGTCCCGGGATCGAGTCCCACATCAGGCTCCCTGCTTGGCAGGGAGTCTGCTTCTCCCTCTGACCCTCCTCCCTCTCATGCTCTCTGCCTCTCATTCTCTCTGTCTCAAATAAATAAAATCTTAAAAAAAAAAAAAAAAAAATAGAAAGGTCCTTGCTTTAAGATATTCATAATTAAGATGAAAGAAAAAAACACACAAACACAAACACACACACACACACACATCCTTAACTGCTCCTAATAGCAGAAATGTCGGCAGGGAGGAAAATGGATCAGGGGAGGGATTTTCCCAGTAACTAGCAGCACTGGGAGTTTCTGACTGGTTCCGCCACAGTTCCCAACTTCTCACACAGACGTTCAGTCTCCTGAGCTCATTAAAAGATCTTGGGATGAGAAATCAAAATGGCAAAAGGTATGGTATAAAGAGGAGGGAAAATCCCCCTGCCACAATTAACAACAGGATTCCTCTTTACCAAAAGAAGCCAGTTCTCCATCTGCCGTGTCCTGACGTGGCCCCCGTTCCTCATTAACACTACGGAGGCTCCTGGAGAGCATGCAGAGGGCCTGGCAAGCAACAGGCTGCTTAAAAGGACACAGAGTGACAGCATCTCCCCAACCTAGCCATGATCTACTGCAGCAGGTCTCCTGTGCCTACAGCTCTTGGGCACCAGAAGCTTCAGGCTGAAGCAAATGAAAATGGCAGAGCTAGCAGGAATTCAGAGAGGGTGAATGAAGAGCTCCTCATCACCAGGGACCATGTGCTCGAAGCCAGGCTTAGAGATGGCCGGAAGTGAGTCCCTCCACCCCCTGGCCCTTCCCTAGTAATCTTCACCACACAATGAAGAAGAGGTGAGGCTGGGCTGGCAGGCCAGCATACTGGAAGGTTCCTCAACAAGCAAACAAACACACACCAAGAACCTATAGTGAAATCAGAGAGTGAGAGTCAGCTTTCTGTGCGGCACTCGGGACTGGCAGGGGGCAGAGGGGTGGGGGTGCTGTTCTCTGCCAAGTCAGGGGCACTCTTTGTCTGGATGACCTCACTTTGTCTGTAGGTATCAGCCAGACGAAACAAGGAAAGTCGCCATAGGCTTCTGACCCCATTGAGAATTATCTTTAAAAAAGAATGACCTTTACTTCCATGTAAACCTACTAAAAAGACCAAAACCAAAACCAACCAAAACACTGAACTTCAAATCCCTGGAGTCCTCTTTGAGACCCAGAGCTGACCCATGTCTGTAAAAAACACCAGGAGACTTAAAAATACTCCACCAGGGACAAACCCAACATCTTAAAGGTCAAAGATAAAACATTCTGTTCCTGTCTTAAACTCCCACACAAAGGTTACTACTGTTCCTGTTTCGATATGGACAACCTGTAACATTCACCCCTCAGGGACATCATGTGTATGAAAAAGACGATTTATTCCCACTAGCAAGCGTAACTTTAGCCTCTCTCAGTCTTCAGAAAAAGGCAGGCAGATAGTGGTGGTTTTCAACGCTGCGTTTCTTGAGCCCCAACTATCCACCCGTTCGGTCCACAAATACTGAGTGTGTATGCACACCTGCTCCGTGCCAGACACTGACAGGGGACTGCAGACAAGACACAGTCCATCTCTAGGGGCTCATGATCTTGGGGGGAGGACACCTAAAACCAGGTGTGATGAGTGCCATAAAGAAGTGCAGGGTGCAGTGGGAGTGCCTAATGGGAAAAAACTGGGGTTCCCGGAGTTAACTTTCTGGAAAAACTGAAATTGAAGCAGAGGCCTAAGGAGGGGCTAGTCCAAGTCAGGGCGGGCTTCCCAGGCAGAGGGAATGCACGTACGAGGCCCCCAAGGCCAGAAAAAGGAGGGATGCTGCATTCAGGGAGCAGGAGGAGGAGCCTGTCTGGCTGAGGGCAGGGAATAAGGGGGGAAAGTGGAGACCAAGGAGACAGGAAGGGGTCAGGATCCAGCAAGTATTATTGGACACGATCAGGATTGTTGACAAATTTCTTTGTCAAACAGATCATCTGGACTCATCTTCACTGTAGACCCAGCCTTTACAGGTGGTTGAGCGCAAACACATGCGTCTGATTTGCGGATGGGCTTCACAAAGGGTAGGGCCCCTGGTCAGACTTGGTCTTCCTCAGGAGGCAGGCGTTACAGTAGTGACCATTCCCAGATCTGCATAACTGAGTCACAGAGCCACGGTTTGCCACTCTCGTGTGAGAACTGGCACCCTGTGATAAATGCGTGACTGGACAGCCACCTCGTGCAGAAGAAACAAAGCCGTACTCACTCATAAACCCTGCGTCTGGGAAGAGGACAATGCCTGTTACCTTGAAAACTGAATGCAGACCAGGGGTTCCTTAAAATGTAACTGCATGGGCGCCTGGGTGGCTCAGTCGGTTAAGCGTCTGCCTTTGGCTCCGGTCATGATCCCAGAGTCCTGGGATCGAGTCCCGCATCGGGCTCCCCCTGCTTTGCAGGGAGCCTGCTTCCCCCCCCTGCCTCTGCTGTCACTCCCCCTGCTTGTGCTCTCTCTCTCTCTCTGTCAAATAAACAAACAAAATCTTAAAAAAAAAAAAGTAACTGCATGGAAAAGTGAGGCCTAGACAACAGCCAACAGACTGTTCTGCCCTGCACTCGCCCACTGGATGACCCGGTTTCAGTGCAACTTCAGGACTATGTGGACAGGGATTTCTCAGATACCCAGGTGGGGGTTAAGTTATAACATCCAAGATGGCACCAGGAGGGAAGATACTTTAATCTTGGAACTGGCGACAACCATGGTGAAGTGAATCCCCAGAGAAGGGGGCACCGAAGGTGTGAGTTTTCAATCTCAAAAGAGCACGCGAGAGGCCATCCAAGAGGCCAGCTCTGCGCTGCAGGTGGCGGCCACGCGAGCCCGCCAAGACTGAGGCTGAGTGACCTGGCCCCAAAAACTGCAGGGCAAATAATACAAATAATAGTTTTAGACAGCAGCAAAGAAAATCTGTCCAAGCACATCTATTTTCCTTTTAAAAAAGGCGAGCAGAGGCAAGGAGAGTGGTTCTGTTGCGAAGAGACTTTCTCAGCTCTAATTACTCCCGATAGCTGTAATTTACACGTTTTTGGTGGATAGAAATCGCCCAGATTCACACATTTTCAGACCAACAGCTGCCACTATTAGTGAGCAAATCGGCATGACTTCTGCATGGTGGCACAGTCAGGTGACACACCAGAAGTGCAAGGCGACCCGCCACACCCAGAAGCCCCTGCTAGCCCGGATCCCTGTGGGGCTGGCCGCGAGGCAACCTGGCAAGAGGAAAGGCAGGGGGTCCTGGCCTCCCCGTGGAGTGCAGAGGGGTACATACCGTACAGAGAAGGACGCCGGTCTTGGAATGTGAGAATTCTTGAAACACTGCTGTTCTTTCCTACAAAAACAAGGAAAAACACTGCCTTACGACTCCGAGGTCAGTCCCAGCAAGTAGGCTTAGATTCTCATAACTCCCCTGGTTCCTACTGCTAGATCTACTTCTAGGCACTGAGAGGCTTTACCAAGAAAGAGGAAGAAGTAGACCCTTCCCATCTTCCCGCCAGACCTGTCCTTCCGGGACTAGACTTCTCCAACTGTAACAAAGTCATGGAGCGCTGGGGGCAGCACATCTCAGTGAGACAAGGCCGGGGGGCGGGGGGGGGGGGGTGCGGTACACCCTTCGGGAACAGCCGATATCAGGAGCAGGCAAGGCCCAAGGCCACAAGTTACTGTTACTCCCGGTTCTCAACTCAGAAGTTATTCTAAACACGTTTTTCTTCATGCCACGTAGTCCAGAGGCATGAAGAACAACCACCTTTCCTGCAGAGCAATTTTTTAAAAATGAATTTTAAAGAAAACTTAAAAATTATAAAACCATATATTTCAACTGGAGAAAGTTATATATTTTAAGTCAGAGGAAGAAAACCAAACCGTCCCACCACTCAAAGCAAACAAACCCCATCGCAGGCAACCCCTTCTGGGCACGTGACCCAAGACGTGGCTTCTTAAGGAATGGCAGTACTCTACTTCTACTACTAACATGCTTGTGTACCAACAGGATATGAAGGTCCTTTCATGCCAACAAATCTGCGTTCAGCTCAGTCGATGCTCCGTGATGGGCACGTGATGGGTGGTTGTCTCCGATTGTTTGCTATTACGCCCAATGCTGGAATCAACACCTTCACAGATAATCTGTTGTACACGTGTTTCATCACTCCCTTGGGGTAAAACCCTAAAGGCAGTCTTGCTGTACCACAGGGTGTGTCCACTCAAAAGGCCTGCCAAGGGCACGCTCAACATGGCCCAAGTCACCGCACAATGAGCAGCTCAGACTTGGCCGTGTCTGTCTGTCAGCAACAGAAAAAGGAATACCACCAAACCACGAAAAATGTGGAAAAAAGGAAAAAGTGACGTCTCTCCTTCTGCTCGGGCACAGCCATCACGCCACTGGGGTGTACCTCGTTCTGGTCCTTCCTGTGCATCTCCTTGGTCACGTGACTGGAAGCCCCAGGCACCGCTCACTGGGCATGGTGGGTAATGACAACCAGCACGCACGGCCTATGCTCTGTGGGCCTGAACTCCGCCTCATCCGCACAAAACCCCATGAGCAGTACTATCCGCACAAAACCCCATGAGCAGTACTATCACCACCCCCATTTCCAGGTGGAGAAACTGAGGCACAGAAAGGTGAAGTCACTTCTTGCCCAAGGGACGTGCACCCAGCAGAGGATTGGACTGGCACCTGTAGCCAGGGAGCTGTGTGCCAGAGCCGGTGGCCGGGCCCCGAGGAGGACAGCTGCACTTGCCCAGAGTGCTTCACGGTCTTTAGAAGGGTCATGTTTAATGGATACATTGTAGAGTGAAAATTAGAAAAAAAATCAGGGAAGTTCATAAAAGCCCATGAGATGGCCTGTGGACTGGACACAACGTATTCAGATTTGGGGTAAGGAAAAAACTGCCAAACCCGGGCATTCCTCACAGCGATCAGGCAGCAACTTCTTCAAACGGCAACTGCTCCCTAACACTCACAAACGTGGTCAGGGCCACGTCAACCACCAGGGAGGCCATGCTAAGGTCACACGGAGCAGCGGCCAGGCAGACGGGACTGGGCTGGTTTTAGCTCAGCGTGGGACGAGAACGCCAGTAGAGCGGTATCTAGAGGCACTGCCTCCCATCTTCTACCCACCTCATGAGAAGGCCACGAAGGCGAAACACTTAACAAACAGAACGTAAGCGGCAGACCGACTGTTCGGGAAAGAGCGAGAACAGCAGCAGCAACGGCACCTTCGTCCACAGAGCACGCATGAACCAGGTCCTACGCTGAGCAGGTACTCTGCGTTCACTCAGGGCCTCACCACACCCACCTGTGAAGTACGTACTAGTATCCCCTCCCTTTGAGAGACGGGCTCACTGGGGCACGGGACGGTGACACGCTCTCCAGAGGTCACACAGCCGGTAAAGGCAGAGGCAGGACCAGAGCATACAGCCGTGAGCGCCCTGCTGGACCACTGCCCTTCAAACGTGAGGCAAACGGTTTGAAATAATTTCACTACAAAGCTTTCACATGGCCTCTTCAAATTCCTTGATCCTCCCGGGCCCGTGTCCAGCTCCCTCGTCACCCTCCTGCCCGCCCTGCAGAAGGCCTCGGGTGAAAAAGACCAAGAGGTGAGGAACAAACGCTGTAAATGGCATTAAATTATGAAATCTACAAACTCAACTGAATCAGGGACATTGAAGTTGAAAACCAAGCACAAAGGCTGGACTACTCAGGAAATTCTATCCAATCTTGTGGTAAATAAGAAGCTATGTCCTTGAGTGACCTTGAGCAAGCTCCCTTTTCTGAGGCTCCACATTCTTAATTATTAAAACGACAAAAGCGGGCACAAGAAGGGGGCTGGACTTGATGACTTTAATGTCTCCTTCAGCTTTAAAGATGTTGTGTATTTCAAGTCTTGCTCCGATTCCTGGTCGTCTCTCCCTAACCGTCTTGCGCGCATGGTCACCTCCTTCTAGGGCAACATGGCTCCCCCTTGCAGGGCCCGCTCGTCCTCCTTCCACGCCAGCGCGCTCCCCTCAGTCTGCTCTCCGCCGACCCCCTCAACGGAATGAGGGCCATGCGGCTCAGAATCTAAAATCAGGGAGACGCTCTTCTCTTCTTCCAGAACAACAGTATAACTCAGAACCGAGAGAGAGCTGAGACCCTGAAGCCCCTCTCCCAACCAAGGTGTTAAGAGTGAAAGCGCTGTATCTTGTTGACAATGACAGCAGTCGCGCTCAGCAGTACCATATGGGATCCACAATTTAGCTCCATTAATGCTCTTAATTTGAAGACATCAAGCCCTAATTACACACTGGGTACTAAAAAGGCAAAACCCTTCCCTGGTGCCAGCTACTTAGTGGTACTCTGTTGCCTTAACAGCTGGTTGAGGCAGACTCGGGCCAAGACGGGCCTGTGAGCTCTCTCAGGTGGAAGAGGGCAGCTCCCAGAGCAAGAGCGCACAGAAACAATAGACGCCCTTGCCCACGCCACCGACGCAGCCGTGGGGTCTGCTTCCAGGGCCGGCAGGTCGCCCGCCTGGGGCGCGTCCCCACCCAGCCCAGTGGGGTCCGAGAGGGAAGGCCGCGCTGACCCCGGAGGACTCGCGCCTGCCTCCACTCCTGGGGACGGCGCGGTGCTCACCTCCTGCTCCATGTTGCCGTGCAGCCGCAGGAATTTTAATGGCGTGGAGGCAGATGGCAGCTGCCCTGACGCTGGGGCCCCGGAGCGGCTCTGCAGGGTCTGTAGGAAGAGGTGGTAGTGGAACTCCACCAGCTCACAACTCGAGAAAAAGACGATCATCTTCTGGTCTTTTTCAAACTACATCGGTACAAAGGGGGAAAGAACCACCACGTTTTTATGATCAGGTGACACTAAAGTGAGTATTTCTCTAAAATACACAGTCCTGCCAGCCCCATCTGGAAACGGGGACAGACAGCTTTGAATGATTTTACAAAAATAACCTTGATACAACATGCTACAAAGAGAAGATGAGAGGAAAATGGTAGAGCTGTAACTTTGACCGGGTTTCCCAAACCTGAGACAGACAAACACGCCGTAGGCTGGGGCTGTGCACTCCTCTTCTCTGCACACATCCAGCGCTCGCCGCGCACAGCAGACGTGAGGTTCACCCTCCAGCCCTCGCACCCACTACTCTCCCACATACCACGGAAAGTTAGCACGCAATCTTGTAAACACAGAAATACTGGGATTCTTTCAAAACCACGAGGCTGGGACCCTCTCTCTGCTCACATTCAGATGTTTCTGCTACCTGTGATGCTCCTGGTTCTCAGGCCCAGAAGAGGATTAGGGCAGATTTCATGTCAAACGTGGCAGCTATCCCTGACCTCTGGTTCTTTACCACAACCCTGAAACCGCTGACTGGTAAGGTCTGCGTTCGCGAACATGGTTTAGTTGGAAAACTTTTGTGCGTGTGTGCAAGTGAGGGTCCCTCAGTTCGCTGCTATCAACACCTGACACAAAGAAAACGGGACCTTCTTCCCTCGACTGAGCCGGGCCTCGCGTGCGGGCCCACCTTGCACTGCTGTAGGATGAAGGCCGCCAGGGAGACGAGCCTCAGTTTGCTGGGAACCAGTGTCACATGCTGATCGAGACTCTCCGGAATCGCAAAGCTGTCCGGCTCACCACCAGCTGGGAGAGGGGAGGCCTCAGGAACTGCTCTGCCCTTTGGGTCCGACTTGCCACGGTGTCCATCCAGGACAGAAATCCTGAGTGGATTGAGCAAGCTGATATCAGCTAGCCGTGTCACACCTTGGAGCAAAAGTGAAAGAGGCAAAACAGGTGAGGGATGCACACCGTGAGGCTAGTCTCGTACGCGCACCCCCCCGCCACACGTCCAGGCTGATGAAGAGGCTCCCTATGGGCAACACCAGGGCCGCAAGGGCCTGCCCTGTGCTCGATCTGGTGGAGGCGGCCCACTGATTCCACACCAGCATTTCTCAACTCTGACCTGGGCAAGACCACTGAAAGGGACACTAACAGCTGTCTCCCCCACCCCGCCCCACCCTGCAAGGGTTCTATAGTTCTATCTACTGATAAAAGGGTGTCACAGAATTCTGTCATAGGGTTTTATAAGTTTACAGGCCTTCTTAGAACCTTTATTGTGTTGACACACACCAGGAATTTCTAAGAGCAGGAGGAAACGTGTGGCATTCCCCAAACTTCTGAGCACAGAATCATGGATTATCTCTCAAAATTAATGTTACTTAGGATACGTTTTAAGAACTGGTTATGTGCATACTGTCAAAGGGCCAGTAAAACGTGTAAACCAGACCTGAGAACATGCGAGCTGGGTTGTGTTGAGAGAGTGACTCTGCCAAGCCTCAGTGCCCCGTCTACAAAAGAGAGCTCAGAATGTCCGTCTCATGAAGATGGAAAGACAGAAATGAACTTAGGTCTCTGTTTAAGGGTCAATGCTCTTTAAGAGAAAGGTAGGCTGATAACACCCACAAAAAAATCTCATGAAACCTCTGGATGGACAGGAGTCAGCCTCTTCTCTTCCTCTCGCCCTGCCACGAGCACCGGAAGCACTCTCCTAACTGAGGTGGCTCTGGATCTGCCCTGCCCTCCCGCCCACACCCTGGGGAGCACGGGGGAGCCTGATGTGACTAGAAGAGGGAGGCAAGACAGGAGTCTGAAAAGGCAGTGCTTTAGGGACACCTGCCTCCTCAGCTCCTGCCCCCAGCGCTGAGAACCACTGCGGACAAATGACAGCCATTACGTCTATGTCTTCCCTCCTGGTTAGGAACAAAGAGCACTCCTCTTCAACTCACCTTCCGTGAGTGTCGCCGACAGCAAGACGTTCTGTCGTTTCTGGCACTCAGCATTTATAGCGTTGAGTATCACTGTGAGATCCTTTTCAAAACCCAGATCCAAGATTCTGTGCTTTCAAGAGAGGGAATTTTACTCCACGTGCAAAGTAAAGACCGCAATGAGCCAGCAGAAGCAGCTCCTTTCTGCTACTTTTCATGCTTCTGGGTGAGGCTCACCTGTCTGCTTCATCCAAAATGAGCCACCGTATCCGACGAAAATGAATGTTCTTTGTGGATTTTATATGGTCCACCAGTCGCCCAGGAGTTGAGATAAGGATATTTATTCCTTTGCGGAGTCTGTTTAAAATTATGTATCATAAAAGAAAATAAATCGAATGGGCCTATATCAATAGAAAACACCAAAAATAGGCACAGGAGACAGATTCATGTCTAGTACCAACATGCACAGCGTGAAGCCATGACAAACACGATGACAAATGGATACAAAGGTGTATGTGAGTTTCCATTTTCCTCCAAAGTTTCTTTCATATAGAATGTGATTATTAAGACCCAAAATTATATTAAATTCATAAAATCTTAAATTTGAAAGGAATCTTTACTATATAATCCAGTGCCCTTTATCTGATCCATGGATCCTTTCTTTCTAGAACATTCCAGATAGATGGTCATCTAGCCTGTTCTTGAAGGTTTCTGTGCCAGGGAACCTCCAACCTAAATGAGTTATCCCACACAAATGTGATCTAACGGCTAGAATGTTTTCTTATACCGAATCTTTTTTGTAACCTCCATACAATGCGGGCCCAGCTTTGTCCTGTAGACTAGGGAGAATAAATCTCAGTTCTTACTCCCAAACATCCTTTATCCTGTATTTCCATAGCAATTAAAGCTTCCAATTTTTAGCTGAGTATATTTTCCAGTCTCTTTTGAAGTTAAGTATGGTCGTGTGCCTATGTTCAAGCATGGGATAGAAGGACAAAGGGAATATGCAAAAACCACAAGTATCTCTGGAGGGAGGACATATGATAATCTTTGTTCCTCCTGGCAGGGAACAAGATATAATGGCTGGAGCTCCAACAACTCCCTAAGAATATGGAGTACCCTTAAAAATGGAAGCCTCACTTAGTGGTACAAAAAGATAGAAGGGACTTAGATCCTGATACCAGAGCACCATGCCAGCCTGGGATGGGCTACCGTCAGGCTTCTTAAATGTGAAAGAAAAAGAAAACTGCCATATGTTTGTGCCACTGTTGTTTGTTGTTATTTATAGCTTAATCAAATCTAACCAATACTTTTAGGTTTCAAGTTTAATATTTACTCCTGATTACAAACTACACACGGGACTGGGTGTTACTACTGAGCATTAAGATACAATACAATACAAATGTTTCAAAAAGCATACAGACAATTTGGGATTTACCTGTTGCAACATTTTCTCCTGACCCCCATTACCACTTCTAATACCAACTAGGAATCAGTGTTCGGGATATAAAAAGCAGAGTTTAGAGCATTATGTAAGTTTGTGATCTTGTTTTTGTACAGACAAACAACCAGACCCTAAACTCCCACTGTAGACAAAAGAGAACTGCCAAGAGGGATGGACACCAAACAAGGGGGACTAAGGGATGCTGGGGTGGGGGGCAGAACTTAAGAGGATAGTGAGCATCACTACCAACCACATCAGAAGGGAACCCCTTGTAGGTTCATCAGTATTTCTTAAGACAACACCGTCCAGAGGTGACCGCTCCCTGCTGCCTCAATCGGTCCCTACGCTCTGGGACTCTGAAGCACAGTTTGAGATAACGCTCTCTCCAGGTTTAGAAGGACCCAATCTGACTGAATAGGAAGGCAGAACAGACAGATCCAAACAGGAATGGATAACAAACAAAGGTCCCCATACCTGGCCTTTTCTGATTTCCTTCTCTCTCCTCCCATCAACACTCCAGGCACAATCCAGGTAAATGGCTACAGAATGATATCAGACAAAAATGAGTGCAAAGCCCCCCCCCCTTTAAAGATTGGATTTATTTATTTGACAGAGAGAGCCAGAAAGCACAAGGTGGGGGGCAGGGAATGGGAGAGGGAGAAGCAGACTCCCCGCGGAGCAGGGAACCTGATGCGGGGCTCGATCCCAGGACCCTGGGATCATGACCTGAGCCAAAGGCAGACACTTAATGAACTGAGCCACCCAGGTGCCCCATCAAAGCCCCCTTTACTGAAGACACAGAGACTGATTCCAAATTCTTTTTCCTTAGAGAAGCTGGAAGGGAAGACCCAGGCTTCTCATTGTAGGAGGGGTGACTGTGCAGACGCAATTCCTAGACATCACCCCTGCTACGGATACTAGCAGCAGTCATTTAAATCACAGCTCTACAGCTTCTAGCACAGCGAGAGAAATGGGAGCTTTCTAAATGATTCCCGTAGCTTCTCTGCCTTTCCCCATGGAGCCTGAGTTGAAAACACATTTCCCTAAGTTTACTGCCTTTTACCTTTCTGGGTACAATAAAACCCAAGCACAAACCTTCCTTACTCCCCACCCCTGACAAAAGAAAGACAGATCAATTCTCGATCTAATTTGGTAGGCTGGCAGGCTTTGGCTCTGAAGCCCTCTCTCGCTTCTTTCTTAAACCCTACGTGTGGCTTTCCCGTAGCTTTCCATGTGATCACTTCGTGGTTGTCCCTGTGAGTCTCCACGTGTGGCTTGCCAGGGACCATGGTGAACAAAGTACAGGACTATAAGCAACAGGAAACACTAGTCAACTAAGCTAGAAATCAGCAGTTAGTAAAGTCTAGATCAGTAAAATCCTACAAATTATACCTGGGCAGAGCAGAGAAACCCAGGGAATCCAGAAAAACTGAAATAATTCCTTGCCTTTTGAAGACGACGCTAAGACTGGTAGACTTGTCTTTTCTCAAAAAGTCAAGGAAAACAAAGATAAAACTGAAGTCACGGCTGACCTTACCTTAAGCAGTTTCTGGACAGTGTCAAAGCTTTGCAGAGCCAGCTGTGAAGAGTGAAAAGTTACAGGTAATGAACGAGGTTGTTCCCACCTGCGCCCCCCACCCCCGGCCCTGCCTCAGCCCCAACCTTTTAAAAACCTTTAGACAATGTAAAGTGATTAGGATTCCAACTCGGACCTTAAGATTTAAGAAAAACAAAATCTGATAGACAGCATCTACTCAGAACAATACACTTTGTTCTTACACTCCTTCCGGAACCTGTCAGTTTGGAGACTGTGGACAGAGAGCCTGCGTCCACTCCTTGGACGTGTACAAAAATAGTGTCTTGTGCTCCCTCTGCTGGCTCAAATTCCCAGAGTGCCACACAGAGAAGTACAAGTCTACAGCGCACACGGATGGAGAAGCGGAACAGCATCACCCTGAATGTGTCTCCCCTTCAGGAAGACAGAGAACAGAATATGCAGGAGGGAGTAACCTGGAATAGCGGTCAACAGGCTAGCCTCTGGGCACATTGCTTTAAAGGTCGTAGGAGGTACCCTTCGAATATGCCAAATAGAGCACTGAGAGGTGGTTACTCCCCAAGTTTATTAAAGGAACAAAATCTAACAAGCCCAGTGGAAACCAGAGAAAGTGAAAATTAATGTAGGTTATAACCATTAACAACTATCAAGAAGCCTCAACATAATCCCTTTATCCAAAGATATGTATATAGCTTCCATATGCTTAGTATTCATGATGCATCTTAGGGAAGCAGCAAGTTTGCTGCTGTAAAAATTTAAATAGCTTCACGCCTGCTCCTTCACAGGACTGAGCCGAGCGAGGGTACTGCAGGCTGTATGACAGGCCAAGGAGAGACCTCCGTCTCCATGACCAACTCTCTGCAAGGAAGTGATTAGCATTTGATATTGAAAACAGAAATCCTAATCTAAACTTGCCTCTCTAGGCAAATAAAATAGATCAGATAGAAGAGATTTCCACCAAGAAAGAAGAAAAATGTCAAGGAGCTTAACTCTGAAGAACAAGTAAAATTTTTGGTACAGTAGCCTCTTTAAAAAAAAAGTATTTTAGGGTCGACTGCTCTAATTTTTAATTAAGTTATAAAACAAACCAAAAAAGTAGAAAATGTAATTATTTTAATTCCTTTTAAAAGTACAGAAATTTATAGTGTCATTAGTTTTTAGACAATAAGGAAATGCTTTTCCATACTTAGCTTATGATTTTCAAAAAGAGTACCTGAATTTTTCTTCTTGATGGGAACCAAAAGGATGGCCCCAGGCAAAGGTAAGGGTGCAGCAGGGAGAAAAATGGTAAAACCCACTTTTAAATTCAAAAGGATCTTACTTCCAAGAGGAAAGTACCTGCTTAAAACCCATCCCGAAGATGAGACTGCTTACCTCTCTTGTCGGCACCAGTATCAGGGCATAGGGACCGTCACTGCGCTATTGACACAGAAGGAAAGAAATGATGTGAGGATGGATGAAGGTCACAGGCCTCCAGGTGGACAGAACTTGAGGGTGGCCACTTGCACACATCAGCAGCAGTCTCATTAAGAAAGGGACTCTGATGCCCACTACCCTTATTATTATGCAACCTTGTTCCAAAGGTTCCAGCCCATGCAATCAGACAAGAGAAAGAAATATGAATAAATCTGGAAAGTAGGAGGTAAACCTGTCATTGTTAGCAGATGGTATTTTATCCTTAAAAACAAAAAAAAACAACCTGAAGAGAATCAATTGAAAATCTACTACAAAAAAGACAACTCAGTGGAGTAGCTGAATGCAAAATTAATATACACGATCTACAGCCTTCTGATGTAAAAAAGTTACAAAACACAATGGAAGGGGGGAAAAAAATCACAGCAGAGCAGCAACAAGAAGCTTGACAAAAAATGTTCAAAATCTGTATGACAGACATTTTAAAACACTTCTGAGGAGCATAAAATAAAATTTGAATAAATGGGAAAATGTATCCTATTCTTGGATACGATGCCTCCATATTACAAATACACTAACCCTAAGTCAACCCACAAATGTAATGCAAACCTAACAGAACTGCCACAAATATGCATATATGCACACAACATATATAATACTTATATTCAGACAAGCTGATTTCAAAGTTCCTATAAAGAATAACCAAAACATGTCTGAAAAACATCAGATGTTAAAACAATTTAAAACTACCGTAATTTAAAAAAAATTGATACTGGCATATAAATTGAGATTACAACAGCAAGTAGAACAGAATCAAGTATGCACAGAATTACAGGAAATAATTTTGTATCAGTAGGGAAAAGATAAATTATTCAGTCTTCAAGAACAAAGTCAGAAAAGTCAAGGTGGAATCAAGTCAGCCTTTTTACAGATGACATAAAACTCAAACTATAAAAGAAAACACTAATAAATTCTATTATGTAAAAATTGTTAACTTCAGAATGGGAAAATAATACCTAAACGAAATCAAGTATAAATGACAAAATGAAGGGAAAACACGCCACACATAAGAGAAAGGCCCAATTTCCTTAGTTTACAAAGGTCTGTGATTCAAATAAAAAATAAAAATAAAAAAGACCACAACAACTTAAGTAGAAAAATGGAGAAAGAACGTAAATAGACGATTTCTGGAAATAAGAATTCAAAACATGGCTTTCACACATGTGAGATGTTCAACTCCGCCGTCTGTCAAATGAGCAAAACCAACACAGCTGGCAGGGTCAAGAGGGCGTGGGCGAGCAGGGGCTCCTGGGTGCCCTGCTGCGGGGAGCGCACCGTGGCTTCACCCACTGGACGTTCAACTGCGGCGTCATCTACCAAATAAACATGCCACTTCCACTTCTGGGGATTTCTCTAAAAGACGCACCCATAAGTACGCATAAAAAATAAAACATTTTACAGACTGTGCAGTATGTAGAAGAGCCTTGTTTGTAGCAAAATACTGACAAAACGTAAATTCCACCAACGAGGGACTGATACAGTAACTTATGGTGGCGACAGGCAGCAGGATACTAGGCGGCCATTAAAAAAGCAAAGCAGATGTGCAAGGCACTGCTAAGAAACTATCCCCAAACATACCAAGCGAACAAAAGCAAGGTACAAAACATCACGCACAGCAAGCAACCACTTGTGTATCAAACCAAACACAACAGAAAAACAAACACACAGAAGCTGAAGGGGGAAGGGAACTCTGTAGGCTCACACTTGCTCTCTCTGCAGAGATGAGCCCCAGACCCCGAGGACCTGGCACCCCACACCCCGAGAGAGCTGTGCCACTCGGGGAGAGGGGGTATAAGACTTACTTCCCACCATGTACTGTTTGGTACTCTTTTTAATTTTTTAACATATACATTATACCTAAAAAAATAATAACAAAGATAATAGTAAGAGAAAACAAAAAAAGTAACCCCATAAAGGTCTCAAAGTCAGTGGTGTCTTGCATCTCTAAAGTGCTCACAGACACTTAGGAATTAATCAAAACAATGTTGGTGCAGAAGCTAAGTGCAGGTTTAGAGCAGATTCAATTACAAGCATGGTTTTCATGTTTTGCATAGGAAACATTTACACACAAGGAGAAAAGGATTTGGAATTCAAACTAGAGCCGTCTGTACTCGACATCAAGTCTGCGAGGCCCAGGCGAGGAACGGTAAACATGTTCGTACAACAGTATCAACGTGCCACAGTGTGACGTTAGGAGATTCTGACATTTCAAAAGGTGTTACTACACAGAGAAGAAGAAAGAAAAATCAATTCCTCGCAGGGCAGAAGTGAGTAAAGAAGGATGGATGTGTTGTTAAAAAAAATCAGAGCCCAAATAACTGAAAGAGTGAAAACACAGAAAAGCAATCCGTTCCCATTCCAATACCAGAGTAATTTACGACTCTGCTGGGTGCCTTGCGTTTGCTGCTCCCTCCAGATAGGTTTTTTACAGGTCAAATCATTTTACAATGAACTCCAAGGGCCTCTATTGAATATTACTTGAAATAAATGAACTAAATTTGGACTTAGAAAACTCTTTTTACAGAATATTTCAATCTTTGAAATAGATGGAGTAAATAAAAATGACAACATGGCTGGTGAACATATCTAGATATAAGCAAATCAAATCGTTGCCTTTCCAACTAGCCACAGGCCCATGTTGTGGACGGTGACAACTACCGCTTCATGAGCAGGTACCGTTACTAAAAGCTGGACACCAGCTCTCCACGCTCCACGTGCATTAGCTCAGGAGCCTCAGGGTTACCCTGGGAGACACGCACAACAGGTGAAGTCACTGAGGCACAGAGGGATGAAAAGGTTTGCCTAAAGACACACTCGCACCCAGGCTTTGAGCAGAGCTGCCCACCACATGGTCTCCCTTAGGTACATACTCTAATCTCTCCTGTCCTCAGGTCACCGACCTATGAAATGAGACAATTGGGCTGGAACTACAGGACCCACGCCAGCTTAAATATTCCCCAACTCTCCAACCTTACAAAAAACCAAAAAACCAAAAATCCACTGCTGGCAAGAAATTCTCCTAGAATTTATAAATGGATAAGACTTTCCCACATTATTGCAATACCTGGCCTCTCTCCTCTAGCGAGGTACCAGTACAATGCTAAATCCTTTATATGAATTATCTTACTGAAAAGTGCCCAATGGGAAAAAAAAAAATCAGTCACCTGTAGGAAATAAATTCCTTACTTCTCCAATTCAGAGGAAACCAGTATTAATAGTTTCTTTCTTGTCTTTTTATGCACACAGAGTATTATTTATGAAATCAGATCAAACTGTACATACTGTTTTGTATCCTACCTTTTTTCAATTTCATATGCAAGAAGACTTGTCAAGTTCACAAAGAGAAATTGAAAAAAATACCACTTTTAATGTCTATGTAAGGTTCCATCACTTGGATGTTGTGTAGGATTTGTTTTATTGATTTAAAATTATTTAAATAAAGTTAAAGTACAATTTAAAAACTCATTTCAAAATAAATTTAGGCTCACAAAAAAATTACACAAATAGTACAAAGAACTCTCTTATACCCTTCTCCCAGCTTCCTTATACGGTTATTAATTCTCAAAATCCCAGTACGATGATCAAAACCAGGGAATCAGTACTGATGTGAAACTCTGAATTAATCTGCGGCCCGTATTCTGACTTCACTGACTGACCTTGCAGCGTCCCCTCCCCAGACAGGACCCAGTTTAGGGCCACGTGTCACACTGAACTGTCACGCCTCCTTCGTCTATTTTAACCTGGGGTAGTTCTTCAGCATTTCTGTTTTGGATGACCTTAATACTTTCGAACAGTATCGGCCAGTTGCTTTGGAGAAGGTCTCTAGATTTGCGTTTGTCTGATATTTGCTCAGGATTAAATCCGGGTGACACCTTTGGGGCAGGACAATCATAGAAGTGGCGCTGGGTCCTCTGGGCACCTATCTGGAGGTGCATGAGGCCGACACGTCCCAGCACTGGGGATGCCCACGCTGATCGCCTGGGTAAGGTGGTAGCAGCCAGGCAGGCTCCCCATCATAAAGTGACTGTTTTGCCCTTTGTGATTAAGACATATCTTGTAGGGAGATCCTTTGAGACTAACTAGGTAAATATCCCATTTTTCATCAGACTTTCACCCCCTCATTTCAGCATCTGTGACGTGTGACACAGTATTACTAAGGCAATGGCCAGACGGTGATGCTCTACTCCATCACTTCTATGTTTCTCCGCTGGAATTCTACTGTGCAGAGGGTCTGTCCTTCTCCCGTCTGCTTATCTATTTACTCAATAATTTGTTTCTATCAGTTTGTACTCATGGATGTTTGTTTTTTGTTTGTTTGTTTGTTTTAAAGATTTTATTTATTTATTTGAGACAGAGAGCACATGAGAGGGGGGAGGGTCAGAGGGAGAAGCAGGCTCCCCGCCGAGCAGGGAGCCCGATGCGGGACTCGATCCAGGGACTCCAGGATCATGACCTGAGCCAAAGGCAGTCGCCCAACCAACTGAGCCACCCAGGCGCCCTGGATGTTTGTTTTAGCCTGTGGGCTATTATCCAATGCTAGCACTACTTGCTTGTCACTCAGTATCAAGTAGGGTGGACACATGCCTAATTCTGTCTGTCCAAAATGAGAAAAAAGAAGTAACCAATTAGCTCCTCTCCTCTGCTTGTGCACCCACCTCACTTCCTATTTCAGATCTCACCACGTCCTCTCCACTGAAGATAACCGGGCCGTATCTGTGGGACCGTGGGCTGGGTCTTCGGATGATGCCTGCGCCTCTGGAGCCTGGCAGTTAACGTGCCTCCTACAGGACCCGGGGAACCCAATTTTGGCCCCTCTGGCCCAGGCACTAACTAAATGTGTTTCCCAACTAAAGACAAGTATTCCACCACTGCTCCCCAAGCTTCCATTTCTTTCTGTAAACTTAGGGTAACAGTAATACCTGTGACTCACTGGGCCGGGGGTGGGGTTTAAGATTCAAGAATATACAACACAGGCAAAGAATCCAGCACAACGTCTGACACGAGGAACATGTATTTTACAAATGTTTCCTATTAGACATGCCATGATGATTACAAAATAAAGTTATTCTATTCTACTCTGGGCACAGTCCTCAGATGCAACGTGTTTATGTAATAAATGAATCAAAAAGAAGAAAATAATGCTAAATGGTCCCAGAATTACTGCTTTGGTTCAATTCAATGTTGCTTATGCACTATGAGCAATAACAGGAAAACACCATACTCACCTGTATTTTTGATTTCATTGCTTGAAGAGACTGGACCACAGGGATGCAGTAGGCAAGAGTTTTACCTTTTAAAAAAGTACAAAAGCAATTAAAATCACAGACCCTACAGAGGTAAGAAAAGCAAAGACAGTAAAGAAAATGGGCTCTGCTACCTCTGGGTAGCACTCAACTCTGGGGGCGGGAAAAGTGCACGTCCTACATCCAAGAGAGGCGAAAACAGAATTTGCCCGTCTGCCACAACCCCCAATTTTGTTTGTAAATCCAGTACTTCCCAAAAAACCTGCAGCTTCAGCTCCTTTATCCAGCTAACAAGGGAGACAATGACACATTTCCCAAGTTACACAAAAGCTCAACTTGAGGACTACCCCTCAAAGCTAGAAAACTTGAAAGTCCTCCTTAACCGTGCAAATGAGCTTTACGGCTAAGTGAACGACCTGCACGGCGCTGATGTGCTTAGGAGCCTGTCTGAACCCTGAGCCAGCCTCTAAAGACCGTGGAGAAACCACGAAGCAAAAGCTTCGGGTTTCCACCCACCTGAACGGTGGCTGAGCTGGGAGGCGTGGTGAATAGCCAACCTGCCATTCTGGGCACAAGAGGGGCAGAAGAACAAGTCTACAGACAATTTTGGAACATGCAAAACCTGTGTTCCGTATTAGAGCAAAACAACTGGCATGCAAGCAGTGTGTGCTCATGCCAGAGCTGTGCTTTAGTATCAGAAATATTCATCCCCCACTGGAGTGAGGAGGGCAGCTCAGGCCACAGACGGTGGGACTGGGCAGAGCCCTGACAGAGGCTGACCACCTCCCAATCGTTCCTGACCACAGCACCACCAACCACCCCCTGCCTTTCCCTAGGGGAACAAATTCGGGGTTCTCATCAAGAGCAGGCACGGCCTCCCTCCTTCCCTCAACAAAACAAAGCCACTGCCGCCACAGACAGACACTTTACTACGGAACCTACTATGTGAGTGTGGCCTGGGTATCAGGGGAAAGGGGGCAGAAGTTAAGTGACGACTGACCTGAGCCCGTCTGCGACCTCACCAGAGCATCTCTGCCTTCCAGCAACGCAGGAATACTTTGCTTCTGAACGCTTGGGCCACACAAAAGAAAGAACACATGCTCCATTATAATATTTTACCCTCTCCCGTTTACAGGCAGAGATGCAGGATACACAAATCACACCCACCCCCATGCTTTGCTGCATCTGCCAACTGCTACCTCAGAAGTCACCTAAACATTCAAGCGAAGGTGCTGAGAAACTTTTGATGATTGAAGGGATAAAACCTCAGTTAAATTTCTGGAACTCAGCTGAAAATGCTGAGGCAAGCCAGGTATTGGCGGCTCTAGCAAAGAGATTAAAAAGAAAAACGTCACAGGCATGATGACAAGCTGGAGCTCCCACAAGAGCATTCCACACACCTCGCCCCACCCCCCGGCCTCCCATGACAGGCAGGGAGACACAACAAGACGGGACAGAAAGATTCCCATGCAAGAGAGTACCAGGAAGCTTGTGAGCCATCCAGATAGCCTGGAGCTGCTTCCCAGTCTCCAAAAAACCGAGGTGTGACTATCATACACACACTAAGATGTGCGTCCACATGTGTATTTAAAAACAAACAAAAAGGGCACAGAATTCATTTAAATTTGGTTGATGAAACTGAACAAAAAAATGGGCGGGGGGGGGGTCCTCCTTTTATTCTTCAAGACTCTTATTACCTTGTACCTATAAGTAAAATGTGACGACTAGTAAAATGTAAAATATAAAGCATACATACTCACAAAAAGGAAGTTCATCTCTTCTCTACACCTTTTACTATTCTGTTTTCCAAGAGTTATTACTATTAAACATTCAAAAAAATTTTTTTCAATATCCCATTATATCTGACCAAGTATTTACTCCAATCTTTTTGTTTGCCTCTAATTCTTACTACTAAAAAATGACCAGATAAATTCTATACTGTGGACATATTATCTTCAGGGTAGCATGGACAGCAGCGGGATCACCGGTTCAGAGCTGACAACAGAAGTACTTGAGGACTCAGTCTCTCCACTTAACAAGTGGGGGAACTGGGGGGTTAAGTGATGTGTCAAGCCCTGGATGGGCAACAACCTGGCAGTGTTCTCTAGTACGAAGACACAAATTTGCTCTGTGCTCCACAGATAATTCAAATTTCACTGGTCATACCCATTCAAGTCTTAACAAAAGCAACACTGGTCTGGAACCCTTACCTGGTCATACTAGTCATGTTTAAGACCGTATTTATTGTGGAAATCTAAAAGAGAACACACAAAATAAATATTTTTAACTACCGATTTTTTGGCACAAATAAATTTAATGCAAATGAGGATGCAAAGAAGGAGAAGATACTGGGATAAAACCGATGGCCATGTTGAAGTTCTTCCAACCAGTGAGTGTTACCTGGGGGTGGTTCTGCCCACCATCCCCCCCCCCCCCGCCGCCCTACACACATACACACACACACACACGGCAATGTCTAAAGCAATTTTTGTTGTCCCAAGTGGGGCAGGGGATGCCACTGGTATCAAGTGAGTAGTCATAGAGTGCTGCTGAACATCCTACCATGCACAGGACGGTGCCCATGACAAAGAGTTATCCATCCCCAAATGTCCACAGCACAAACCTGCTCGATGTCCCTGCTCAAACCCATAGGTAAGAAAACAGCTTATGTAAGCAACCCTAAAGGAGTGAGCTGTGACCATAGGAGCAAAGGAAATCCAGACTCCCTGAAAGTTAATGCACTTTTCTCTTACTCATAAATAAGAGTGGAAACTTCATTCACAGTAAAAAAAAAAAAAACAAAAAAAAATCCATTTGTTTGTAGAACATCTTCATTCAATTTAACGACAGACTACCCTTGATATGAAGATGCCAGCTCAGTTTCCTCTCCTATGGTCACTGTGAGCCCTGCCACCCAGATCAGCCTCCACGTCCCATCTACCCACTAATTAGGAGCTTGTCCTAGAGTCCAATAAGTGGAGCCCCAGGCCTAATCTGAATTAGGTTAGGAAAGTGTTTAGTTCTTTAAAAAGGGGGTGGGGATGGAGGTAAGGACAGTGAACAGTAACCTAGGCTCACTGGGATTGTCCTAGGAGAGCATATTATCGATCTGACTTCACTCAGGTTAATTTGGAGCAGAAATAACCATTCTTTGATTTTTCTTCCTAAAACTGTCATTTCCCAGACATTCCCAAGAAATTAACCACACTGAAAAAACCAACGGCACAAGATACTGAGAGATACTTACTAAATGTGGGTGGAGGTCCAGTTCATGAAAAGCATCTGAAGTGAACACCTTTTCTTGCACCTGCTTTACTACAGGTCTGCAAATGATGAAGAAAACCCAGGTATCAGTTCCAATCGACAGAGAAAAAGGCAGAATACACTTAACTCCTCCTATTCCTGAGCACACATGCCCCTGAACATACCTGTGGAGCTCTGGGATTTCAGGGTTGTTTTTAAATAACGATGAAGTCCTAATGCACGGTTTCTGTTCTCGGGTTCCATCACTCACACCAACCAAAGATTTCTTCGGAGAAAATGTTTTCTGTGCCTTCCCCTTAAAAGTCCTTTGTGTTTCTTTAGCAGCAGCTTTCTTGGCCAGGAGAAATGATGCCTCGTTCCTCTGTTTCGCTGGGGGAGCCTCACTGGATGCTTGGTGTTTTCTTTTGGTGGCCTCTGCTTGCTGTGTTGTTCCCAAAAGGCAAGAGCAACAAGAGATGCATTAGTCCATGAAGACAGACCTCAGAGTGAAGCCTGACTGCCCACAGAATTGCATCTCTCCCTGCAGAGATCATTATGCCCCATATGTCAAGCAACAGTTTAGGGTCTGCAATCAGATTCTTTGACTCAGCTCTTCTTTTTTTTTTTCCCCAAAAAGAAAAAAACAAAACAGAAAACACAAAAATCTCAGCTCATTCATACACTAGACCTCACCATCCATCCTCACCATCAACTCAACCAAGATGAGGGTAAGGATCAAGGGAGAAACCTTTGTGGGGCTGAACATGAACAAATGGGAGTCTCTTTTAAGGGAAGAGAAACCCACCTTGTGAAGTGTGCATGCTAAGTCAATCCTTATCCCTAGATGTCCATCTACACAAAAAGAACAGGGGAGGGGGGGAGCGCATCCTCTCTCTCCACCAACAAAGCCTGTTGGTGACTACACATGGGAGGCTGCAGCCCAGCCCATGCCCAGGAAGCAGAAACCTTCATTACTGCTCTACCCCAGAGTGCTTGGATCGCTGTCATCCTCCCCCTCACACTGCTCCCCCAGATTCAGATGGCTTGGAGATGATTCCTACTCCCGTTTCCATTCCAAATGAGAATTCTGCTCCATCCATCACTTCTACTACAATTATTTCCAACTCTCCTTGCCTTTCAGGTCCCCATCTGATCGCCAATTACAGGCTACAACACTCGGCATTTTCTTGCCTGTTGCTATTTCTGTAACATGGATGTGGCTACATGTGTAATGTCCAAACTTCTCCCAGGAGAAGAAACAGCCAATTTTCTTTGAAGAAACATTCTGTTTTCTTTGGCCTTCTCTTCCAATTTACACGTGAATAAAAAAAAAACATCCCCTGAGTAGCCAGGGCTTATTATTCTGGCATTTTGGTTTCTCTTGGAATGTTATTTCCCCCTTTGCTGGAAATGACGGATTCCATTTACACATCAGCTTGCTTTTGGCTGTGATTGTCAGCTTCAGGCTAACCTACCAATAACAACACTTGTTTGTTCCTGACAACTACAGGACTCCTATATCTAAATAATTTAATAAACACCAACTTCGAATATTTACTATTAATAAAGTAAGTATTGACCTGCTCCATTTTACAAATCTATTCTTACAAAGTCCCAAATTTATGAATGTTCAGATTAAAGAAAAAGATAAAAGTCAAGTTCCAGATCTGCTGAATCATTTGCAAGGCACAATGAAATGTGCTGACGTTCCTTGATTTATGGAACTACAGATTCTCGGGGCATAAAAAGGCCTAAAGGCCACTCCCACCACGCATAGACTTCCTACTACAAGCTCCCTGACAGGTGGCCTTGCAGTAGGCCTTGCCTACACACCTCCCTTTACTGTTCTCCATCCCTTGAGACACGAAATTCGAGGGGTTAGGAAGCTGTTTCTGACACTCAGACAAGATCTGCCACCTTGATCATCTATCTGCTAGTCTGTTTGCTTTCTGCAGCAACACAAAACAAGCTTACTTCCTCTTGTGCATCACATTCCTTCACACATCATCTAACTTTCTGTTTCTTCTTTGGACTAAACAGTCCACATAGGACACGAGCTTTCAATCCTTTCTCATCCCAGTCACCTTTTATTCTCATGTCCACTGTTCTCTAAAAGCAAGTATTCAGAATTAAGCACAATATTTCACAGGCTTTCCACGGCTCTCAGGCTAAAATCAAAAACCTATAATATGATCTACAAAGCCCTCTAGAAGCTGGACTCTGCCCATCTCACCAGCCTCAGCTGTCCTGGTCTTCCTTAATTCCTAGAATGCACCATGCTCCCTCCCTCCTCAGGGCCTTTGCACATGCTATTGCCATACCCATGTCTGCAACCCCCCTTTGGCTAGCTAACTCACCCATCCTTCAGATCTAGGCTTACTGGGTCCTCAGAAGAACCTTTCCTGACCTCTTCTCTCCACCCAGTCAGGCCAGGGCTCCTACTCTTGGCTCTCCTGGCACCCTTTTTCTTCGCTGTAGCACTCAGTACAATTATGACAATTGTATATTGTCCCTCAGTACAATATACAAGCATCAAATGTAATCTGTTAAGTGGTGTCAGCCCTCCGCATTAGACTGTAAACTCCATAAGGAAATGGACAAGTGTGTCCTGCGTGGCACTGCATCCTGTAGGGCTCAAATCTTCCCAGAGTAAGTGCTCAATAAATGCTTGTAAGACGAACGACACACATGGAATTATCCCTTCCCATAATGTGGACACTATTCCACTGTTTGTTAGCTTTTCTGCCCCAGCATCCACAATACATTCATTTAAGAAACTGACCCCTCAGCAGCTGTCAACAAGTAGCTTGGTTCTGAGGATACAAGGCTAGAAAATTAGCCAAGCCCTTGAGGAGATCACAGATTAGTGGAAGAGACAAAAGTATAAAACCACAAACCCAAACCTATATTTGTACTCAGAAGAGGTATGTACAAAGGATTACAAAAGCACAAAACAAGACTACCACGGCCTACGGCAAGGGGAAAGGAGGCCAGGAAACAGAAATGCTTCATGAGGTGGCATCTGAGCAAAGATGAGCTAGGACGTACCTGAATCTACTAAAAAGTCAGCTCTACGACGTTAAACAAATTACCTCCCTCTGAGTCTCTGTTCCTGTACCTGTAAAATGAGCGGGTTCTGGCAGATGACCTCTAAGGGCCATCTAGCCCTAAGTCTAAATACCATGTCTCTGATATTAATAAATATACCAGACCCCAGGCAATATGCTAAGTACTTAAGAGTTATCTAATGTATCAATACAGGTACTGGTATCATCCCATTTTAAGATGAGAACACTGAGGCAGAGATATGAGGTAATTTGTTCCAGGATCATTGGGGGATCCAGGTTTTGCTCAGGCCCTGATTCTACACCCAGGGTTCCTGATGATTATGCTGTAATACTATTTATTAACTGTACCCTGTTTGGTTGGAAAACATCATGTGTAGTTTCATCCCTTGTTTGTTTTCTAGAAGGATATACACCAAAATGTTAACCAGAGTTACCTCTGAGCATGGCAATTATGGGGTTTTTCACTTTAACATACTTCCCCTATTTCCTACAATAAACCTGGATTACTTGAATTGTCAAAAAACATTTTTAAAAAGAAAACACTACATACTGTTACATATAGCATCACTTAAGGTCTCGAGGCCTTCCCAAAGTCACTATATTAGTTACCCGTCCCAAATTCAGGCCACTGGCAAATTTGATTGGCATACCTGTAATTCTCATTCAAGACGAACAAAAAATGCAGATGCAGACGAGGGCACTGCAGACACCTGTCATCATCTTATTAATACACATCCTTTTGACACAGTGGTTCAAGCGATCATAAAGCCAGACATCCCATTTTTATTCCTTCAACTCACTCAAGGAGGTGTTAATAGCGCTTCCTCTGTGTTACTAGTCACCTCCAGGACACAAGCACCCCACTGACCTCCCGACACAGGGATTCCACTACTCAAAATGAAGCCAATACGACTTTATTTACCATTGGCATTTATTAAGCGCTTCTATGGGCCAGAAAATATATAGAGTCTTTATGTATATTATTTCATTTACTCCTCACAATAACTTTATATAAAGTAGACACTGTTTTGTTGTTTTTATCTATCCTTTATTTGGTGGACAATTTTACGTCTACCCTGCATTTTACAATCATTTTACAGACTGGAAAGTGAGGTTCAGAGCGGTGAAATAACTCCCCCAAGTTGACAAAACCCGCATGTTGCAAGGTGGGAATCTAATCCCAGGTCTGTCCTACTCCAAATCCCATGCTCCCAGCGGCTCTTCAGGACTTCCCCTTCCTCCTCCCAGAAGCAGCGACCCCGCTGGCTAGCTGAAAACTCCTACTCCCAAACCTCTAAATCCTAAAGCTTGACTATCACTGAAAAACCACCGAAGAGAATCCTTATATGAACTCGAGGAATATCAGCTTCAACACACTGGTTGAACTGAACTTCGGCAATCGTCAGTGGAATCACCTGTTGCTTTCTGGAGAAAACACACACCTTCCCTGGCACGAGGTGGTGTAATTCCTGGCCTCTGTGGTAACTCGGGATTCTACAACAGGTTTTTCTGCCCTGCAGCCCTCCTCTATTCCAGGAGAGAAGTCAACCACCCTAGAAACCAGTTTTCCTTCCTGGCTTCGTTTAAATTTAAAGCATCTTTCCCCTCCCTAGTGAGCGGGTTAAACCGGCGCTCCGTATTCTTTGCCCACCGCACGCTGGGTGAGCATCTATGCCATGTTTGAAAGCGCTTGAAGAAGACCCCTCGTCCAGTCCTCGTTCCTGAACCAAACCACCCTCAAATGAGGCAACGGTGGCTGAGAGAAGTTAGGAGGTGTGGCTGGCAAGTGCCCGGGCTGCCACTCGCACCCCGGCGGCAGTTCCTAACTTGGGCCCGAATCAGCCTCCCGTCCTTGACCCGACCTTCGGGGCCCTCCGCCTAGCAGCCCGAGCCAGCAGACGCCCCTCCGCACCCGCTCCGCGGCCGCCCCGCACATCCCCGCCGGCTGGTGTTCCGAGCTCAGACACGTGCGGTTCGGCGACTTCTCCGGAAGCTGCTAGACAGCCCACTTTGCCCCCGAGCTCTGTCGGTGGTAGTTCGAAACCCCACCCAGAGGCGAGGCGGCGGGCCGGCCTCGGGTGCGGACGGCTCTGAAGCCGGGTCCTAACTCACCCGGGTCCCCTGGGCCCGGCGGGGTCCCGGGAGCGTCCTGGGGGCGGCGGCCGGGGGCTCCGGAACGTGGAGGAGCGGCCCGTCGGCGGCGGCCATGGCGCGCGGCGAGAAGCGGGCAGAGGCGGACACGGGCGGGCGGCGGCACCGGCCAGCGCGGCCGGACCTCTCGCAGCCGGCCCGCAGCTCGGCTCGGCCCCACGTGGGCGGCGCGCGAGGACCCCGCGTAGGTGCCCCGCCGGCGCCTGCGGCCGCGCCCCTTCCGGGTCCCGGAGGGCCAAGGGGCCGCGGCGCCGGGGCCCCCGGACTGGGTGGCCGCTCCTCCTGGCGTCCCTCGCGGCTTGGCCCGCGGCGGGCGATGCCACATGCCACCCAGCCCTGGAGCTCATGCTAGTGAAGTTCTCTGAGTGCCTCTGAGAAACAAGGGGCCGCGTGCCACCTAGCCGCCGCTTCCTCGGCACTTCAGTTACCCGGAGGTCGCTACAGGGGCCTGGGGCTCGGTCGCCCGGAGACGGAGCCCTCGAGGCCCCCTTCCCCTCGAGCACCTCCGCCGAGTCCGGGCGCGGCTCCGTCCTGCCCGCGGAGGAGGCTCGCTTTCTGGGCAGGCGGCGCCTTGGCCACCTGGCAGGGCTGGGTCGCCTAGCAACGGCGGGGTCCTTCCTGGCTCGGCGGCGCTCCGGGCCTGAGGGGAGAAAGCCGCCGCGGAGGGCGCTGGGGGCCGGCGGCGGCGGCGGCGGCGGCGCCAGGGGCGGCAACGGGACGGCGGCGCGGGGTTGGCGCGCCCCGGAATCCGGCCTCTGCCCTTGAGGGGAAATGAGCTCCGCCGACGAGGCCCGGGTGGGCCCCGCGGCCGACGGGCCTGCGCCGCCCGAGGAGGAGGAGGGCGAGGGGGGCGGCGAGGCGGGCGGGAAGGAGTCGGCGGCAGACGCGGCCCCCGGGCCCAGTGCCGCGTTCCGCTTCCTGGTAACTCGGCGGGAGCCGGCCGTGCGGCTGCAATATGCGGTGAGCGGCCTGGAGCCGCTGGCCTGGTCCGAGGACCACCGCGTGTCCGTGTCCACGGCCCGCAGCATCGCTGTGCTGGAGCTCATCTGCGACGTGCACAACCCGGGCCAGGACCTGGTTATCCATCGCACCTCGGTGCCCGCTCCTCTCAGCAGCTGCCTCCTCAAAGTAAGTCGCCCCCTGCGCCCCAGCCCTGGGGGCTCCTTCTGCCCCCCGCCCGCGGCCGCGTTACCGGTCCCTGGGGGATCTTGGCCTGCGCCTACCAGCGATTCCCCGCGTCGCATCCAGAGCTTGGGGCTGAGGCGTTGGGGTCGCCGTATTTTAAAAAACAAAAATTCTCGCGGCCGTTGGCGCCCAGTTTTCCAGATCACCCACCCCCTTCCGACGCACACAGGTATCCCCGGAGCTTTCGTCGCAGCCAGGTCCTGCCTTCGCCCCGGCGCCCGCCCCGCGGCTGGCGCTGGTGACTCTCCCTGGTGCTTTCTGAGACTCCACCCCCTTTGACCCAGCCCCAGACCTTGCCTCTACGGTTGCTCCTATTGTCTGGAATCGACTCCCTGAGGCCCTTGTCTGGCTTTGTTCACGGGGACGTGCCCTCCTCTTGCGCCTCTTCTGCTTTGGAGAAGAAAACTTGGTCCTTTTCATTGCCTCAGCTACCTTGGCGACTTTATTATATGACTGTTCCTTCTCACCTTGAGCAGCTGGGTAGTCCAGTTTTTTCTTTTATAGCGGAAAATCTTTGGGATTGGAGTGACAAGGAAAGCTTTTGGAAATAAATGCGGTTCTTAAACTTCAAGGCCTCTGTAGATGTAGTGTTTTCAGCTTCGTATAAATTAAGTTGGCCTTCAGAACTTTAGGGTTCCTAGTTTTACTGTTTCAATATCACTGTCTTCAAGTTTATTTTTTTGCCCAAAGAGTAAATCAGATCGTTCATTTGTGGCTTAGAAGTATAAAAACTTTGGGCGCCTGGGTGGCTCAGTTGGTTAAGCGACTGCCTTCGGCTCAGGTCATGATCCTGGAGTCCTGGGATCGAGTCCCGCATCAGGCTCCCTGCTCGGCGGGGAGTCTGCTTCTCCCTCTGACCCTCCCCCCTCTCATGCTCTCTGTCTCTCTCTCTCATTCTGTCTCAGATAAATAAATAAAGTCTTTAAAAAAAAAAAAAGAAGTATAAAAACTTTCCCTGTCTCCTTTGTAAATCTTTATGCGTACACGTGAGCTATAGAGAGTGTATGTTCACTCATTTAGCAGATATTTGAATAGCCCCACGTATCAGCTAGGTGCTGATCTAGGCTCTGGAAATAAAGCAGTGTACAAAACCAAGTTCCTGCCCTCATGGAGCTTACATTCTTTAGCAAGTCATGAGCCGTGTACAACTGTAATATCAGATAGTGATAAGCATTATAAAGGTATATATCTATGCCCAGAGAATGTTGTTTATGTGAAAATGAAAGGTTTTTAAACTTTTTTTCTGCACTGCCATTTTTTTTTTTTTAAAGATTTTATTTATTTATTTGAGAGCGAGAATGAGAGAGAGAGAGAGCTTGAGAGGGGTAGGGTCAGAGGGAGAAGCAGACTCCCCGCTGAGCAGGGAGCCCGATGCAGGACTCGATCCCGGGACTCCAGGATCATGACCTGAGCCGAAGGCAGTCGCTTAACCAACTGAGCCACCCAGGTGCCCCTGCACTGCCATTTTAAATATGAATCATTAGCTGTGGGTACGGTATAGGGAGCCCACACCACTTTTTTTTTTTTTTTTTTTTTTTTTTTTTTAGCACACATGAAAGTTTTAAACAATTCGTTGTTGAGTTAAATCACTGGTAGACTGATATGACTAAACCCTGAATATCTTGGAGAAGATATGAACAAATTGGTTCGAGTATAATCACATCAGGTAGACGGATCTTGGTAATACTGTGAAATTGAGAAATGGATGGAGGCAGAAGAAAGGGGCTTTAAAAGATACATTCTTACCATTTCTAAGGATGTTCATGTGTACATGAACTAGAGAAAACTAAGTGTGTGTGTCCAGTGTGGTCCAGATTTAATGCTTTAACAGGGAGAATTTATTTTTTTTTAAATTAAATTTTTTTTTAAAGATTTTATTTGACAGAGAGAGAGAAAGCACAAGTAGGCAGAGCGGCAGGCAGAGGGAGAAGGAGAATCAGGCTCCCTGCTGAGCAGAGAGACCGATTTGGGGCTCTGTCCCAGGGCCCTGGGATCATGACCCTAGCCAAAGGCAGACACTTAACTGAGCCACCCAGGCGCCCCAGCAGAGAGGATTATTTAAGGGGGGGGGGAAGGGGCAGAGGGAGAGAGAGATTCTTAAGCAGGCTCCATGCCCATCACAGAGCCTGTCGAGGGGCTCAATCCCACGACCCTGAGATCGTGATCTCAGCTGAAACTGAGAGTCAGGATGCTTAACCGACTGAGCCACATAGGCGCCCCTAGCAGAGAGAATTTAAAGAATGGAAGGAATAGTGAGGGGAGGCACTTACATCAGGGAATGTTATCTGGTGGTGAATCTGAAGGAGACCTGAAAGAACGTAGGATTTGTTTTGTAAGAGGAGCAGAGGAAAGGGGCATCCAGGTAACAGGAATGAGTTGTCCATCTTATTCACCTACATAATTAAGTTACAGGCATACTTTATTGTTTATATAAGTAATGATGGATTAACAGACGATCTCTTCTAGAGAGAGAAAGTGAGGTGAGGCCAATTTGGGAACGTAGGAAGGTCAGTCTGAAGAAGTTGGCTTCAATTTAGGAAGCCCAAAGGTGCTGTAACAGTTTCATAAGCATGGACTGGCCTGGGATGGTTCAGGAATAAGAATCTGGTGGGCCTAGAGGCAAGAAAACAATTATTGGGGTCAGTATAAAATAGAGGGTACAAATTTGGGCTTTGGCACAAAATAGCAGGATAGGCCTGTCTATACAAGGGGGATGATAAAACCTGTGTTGTTTAGACTTTTTTTTTTTTTTTTGAGAGAAAGAGATAATGCATGTGCACAAGGGGTGGGGAGGGGCAGAGGGAGAGGAAAAGAATCTTAAGCAGGTTCCATGCCCAGCATGGAGCCTGACATGGGGCTTGATCTCATGACCCTGAGATCCTGACCTGAGCCAAAATCAAGAGTCTGACGCCTGACCAACTGATCCACTCAGGGGCCCCTAGACTTTTTGGAGGATTAAATACATATATGTATGTATGTGCATATATAGATGCGTATATATGTACACGCAGATAATCAGTACAGTGTCTTGCAGCCTGTAAATACGCAAAGTAATAAATTTGGTCATGCAGGTATGAAGAAATAAGGGTCTGGATTAATACTGTAGCTGTGGATATGAGATATCCATAATATTCTGATAAAAATTGGGACTCTCATTGGTTGTACAACTGTCTAATAAGTAATAGGAAATCTTTTGTATTCTGCTTGTAATTGGTAGATAGCCTGCCTAAAGTTAATTACTGGCATCTTCCCCTCCTGTACTGTTCTTTGGTATGCGCATCACACAAACCATCCATCAGTTAGCAGTCTTCCTAGACTAGGACCATTTGGTGAATGAATGCGGAGTTGTCCCTGCAATTCTGAAAGAGGCCTCTGTCGCGTAAATCTGGGCTGCAGTGGTAGGAATGTAAAGAAGTCTGTATCAGTACTTTGATGGCTTTACCCTTTGGCAGTGCCTAGGGATTTAAGCTGCTCAGAACTGTCCAGCTTGCCTTTGCTCTGACATGAAAGGTGGCCATTCTGCAGCCTGGATCAGTTTAGTGTATGGCCCTGCTAGAAGGCTAGATGCTCCGCTCCTCTGAAGCTTTTGCTCTATGACCCCATTATTTAGATTAAGAATTTCAAGAAAATACGCAGTTACATAAAATAGTTCAAATATTATCTGCTATTTGCAAGTTACTGTCCTGGACACTGAGTTTATGATATCAAGGAGACTGATATAAGTGAATGATATGAAAAGCAATAAAATTGTGATTTAAGAATAATTTGTAATTTTTCTTCCCATTGGAGTGCTGATTTAGCGAATCATCTAATTGGATACAGTCCCAAATTCTAATAATATTTGTATAACTAATTTTAGTCTGCATAAATTGTTAGGAGCATGAGAAAGTACTAACTCCATCCACATTAAGTTAAATAACTATGGGCTGTCTTTGGAATCCTATTCCTACCTTCAAGAAGCTTCTTGTAGAACAGCTTCAAGTGAATTTCTGTTCATTAGGTGCTTACAAAGGAATTAGCCA